GTTTATTATTTTTTGCAGGTTGCCCACTTCGGTGGGCGGTGTTTGTGTGGTGTGGGGCTGCTCCGGGTACTTCTCTGATCAGCAGAGTGGACTTAGGAGCAGCCTCACTTTTTTGGGTTGTAAGTCTTCCCATAATGGGGTTGTCCCGCTTGGGGCGGCCTCATGGTTGGTGGTTTCGGCCAACCGTCGGGGCGTCGCGGTTGTATGCGAGAGCGATCCCGTGGCGTCCCACATGGCGGCAGGGGGGGGGGAACTTGGGTTTTAGTGGGTATGCCGGTCTCATTAGCCGGAGAGTCTCCACATAACCACCCCGGGGGAAGTCGGGTGGTATCCATAATAGGATTTCCCAACTATAAAAAAAAAAAGGTATACAGACTATGACCTTTTAGGAAATGCATTTAGGCCCAAGGTGTGGGACTCACCGAAAAAGCCTGTACTACCCACTAAAACCCAACGGAACCTCCCCCCGTCTTAATGAACCATGGGGCTGCTCCACAGTCCACTCTGCTATACCAGAGAGGTACCTGGAGCAAACGTGTGTTTTTCTTGGCTTCGCGCCCGGCTGGATTGCTGGGCACTACTGAGCCCCCCCAGCACGACAAGGTGAACGCACGTTGGGGGAGGGGGGGGGGTCTGGGGAGGATACAGACTACGACCTGGGGTAACATCAGGCTTCTCTCTAAGTCACTAAAGTGAGTGTTCGTCTACGCAGGTGCCTTGCAAGCAAGGAATGTATGACGACGAAATGTTTTGACGTTTGGGGGGGTCGTATGATTTTTTTCTTGTGTGCATTAGAGTTGGTTTTTATTTTATTATGGATTATTGATATAACGTAGTGGTTACATTCTCTTTATGAATTGTCAATAAAGCAATTCATACAGGAAGAGAGCTTTATTGTTTTACATGATATTTTTATCTTGGATACTTGTTACTCCTGTGACAAGAAAGTATAGCGTGGGAATAGTGGTTTTTGAAGCCATTAACAAGAAAATTGAATCGAGGAATAGTAAATAGCATTTTACGCAACCAATTTAAACAAATTCGAACAGCCTAGCTAATAGCTATACAAATATCCTATTAGTAGGCTTATCTATCCATCATTTATAACATTACGATAAGATTATCAGAGAATGTCATAGAAAGTTATAATAAACAAAAATGAGATTAAATAAAAAAAAGTATAAGATAATATTTATATTTAGTTCACATATTTTCAATATCATTGTTCGACGTGATGTATCCGCACAATATGGCAACATCACTACTAAAATCATACTCAGTACATGCACATAATAGCTTAGAACTTTTCGCTAATCACAAAAATATGTTCACTTAAAACTACGAAATGTTATGGATAATCAGTTTTTATCACTTATCAGAACTCAAGCGCGGACCCACCGTTAGGGGCGCGGTGGGCATGCCCACAACCCTAATTGAGTTCGATAGAATGATGTTACATCCAATGCTTTAATTACAATAAAAAAACTTTTTAAAACAAATATACAGGCGACTCTCCCGGTCAGGGCCAGTAGCGGATTATTCAATGGCGCCCTAGGGCCAAGTCGAAATCGCGCACTTTTTTTTACAAAAAAAAATGAAAAATAAAAAATATATTTTATGAGTAGTTGACTCATGAGACACTTGTAAGTATAATTAATCATGGCGAATTAATGTTTTGTATTATCATAAAGAGCAAAAACGTTACAATTAAATTTTGAATGAAAAATATGAAAATAAAAAATAATTTCGTAAATAGATAATAGACTAGCAATAAAAAAAAATTAAAGTCTATTTGTTAGATACTCCAGTACTTGCCTGATTAATTATTTTGACCAAAAAAATTCTACTCTTGAAATGGTAGGTACTATGTTTTAATTGTAAGAGCGCAAAAAAAACTTTAAAATTTGGTCTCACAGTTTACTGAAAATCTAATCGATTTTTAATTTTAGTCGTCTTAAAAATTTTGGCGCGCCTTAAAATTTGCCTCCCTAGGCCCGGGCCCCACGGACCTAAGCCTAAATCCGCTACTGGTCAGCGTACATGCCGCGGATAGATTGTTTTCTATTCTACGCAAAGTAAAGCAGGTAACTTTTAGAAATATATACCATATTGATCATGAGTAAGTCTGTACTGTCATGTGTGTCCGATACACACTTACAATTAGCCAGTTTTCCGGTGGGCGTGAGACCACAACCTTTTTTGAGGATTGGATCCGCGCTTGACGGAACTGTGACTGTGCAATAGATACATCACGACAGCCATATTCATATATATTTCATAATTTTTTTATAAACAATAAAATAATCGAGCGATCTTTGACCACGATCATGGAATGGCTACGATTTTTCAAATAATTTATCTAATAGTTGCCATTAACGTATCTAAAAGCAAATATCCTACCTCGTATGTATAATATTAATCATATTACATACATGTGCAGTGAAGTAAAGGTAGTCATGTAAAAAACTGTTACGTATAAGTACATTTATTTTATCAAAGTTCAGTATTAACGTTCTATTTAAATTATCAGAGATCTAATTGTACTTTAATTTTCATAGTTTATTTACACTAAATCGAAAATCACATTAGTTTTCGAATCATAAGCTTTAAGGAACATTCATATTTTGGGGCATTCAGTAACTGGTAATGTGTTACCAGTTTTTTTAATAATTTTCTAAAGTACTTTATAGAGACGATCATATATAATTGATTAAAAATCTTCAATAAATATGACAAACCAACGTATTTTTTATTTACTTTTATAATCCTTTAATTCGTAATTCAATATTATATTAGAGTTACATATGGGTACAGGCGATATATATATATTCATAATCGAGTCATATACGTTCATCTCTATCAATAACATTTTCCTCTCCACAATGAATTTTTGGAATCCTAAAATAATAAATAGCATCATTTTTTTCATGTAACATATCTTAATTTACAATTAATTTAGCACATTTACAACATTCGAAGCAAACTATAACTTACTTTTTAATCTCTTTTACCATTTTCATAACTACAATTAATCCCCTTATAAATATGTACCTATAAGTTCTAAAAATTAACGTATTCTACAGATCACATGCGAATGCATATATACATATTTTAGAATATATATATATATATATATATATATATATATATATATATATTATATATACATATATATTATACATATATATTATACATATATATATATATATATATATATTATATATACATATACGAGTAATATGAATGTAAAAAAACATCTAGCTGGTTTTACATGAAACATTACAATAAGATAATTAATTTGTTAAATAATGTAGGTATGTACTTAAATACCTACATTATTTATTTATTATTATGTTATTTAAGGCCGGTTTAGACTAATTTTAAGAAGGTTTATACACTGTGTGTACTGTTTATAGTGTTTAGTCTAAACCGGCCTTTAAAGTGAGAGCTTTAGAGGCATCATTTTAATATATTTAAAGACAATTGTTCTTTTAATATGAGAATGATCCATAATAATTATTATGTTATTGTTTAACTCGTCAATGAAAATTTGACAAAAACATAATATGATAATTTTTACAATAGCACATCTAAAACTCGATTATTTGAGTATTCTGTGTATTCTTCTTAAAAGTTAAAACAATTCATGGAACTATATAAATTTATTCGAAAATACTGGTTGAAATTTTATTTTTAGTAAAAAGTTGTAATATGAAAAATAAATAAAATATTCAATTTTATTAAAATTAGTTTTGTTCAGAGAAGTAAATAAATTGACTGATGAATAATCAACTTTAGATATATTTTTTACCTTTCTTTCCAAATCTCTTACTTCATAGACACATACATACATACACAACAACTTTGCTTAATTTAATTCACCTTAAAATTAATAAATTCATTTTATTTTTATGGCAGATTTACATCACATGGTATCCATATTACATTTATTTATATTATAGAGTTGAACACAATATTGAATGATAATTTATTTCAGTACAAAAAATTATAACACCTCCAGGTAAATTTCTAAGAAATTAATCAAATTTCTAAGAAATCTATTGTTAACTGTAACGCCGGCGTATCCGCGGTCGTGGAGGGATTATTAAAAAAAAATTTCTCATGTAAAAAATATAATTATTAAAAAATATATTGTATGTACTACTTATTTGTAGCTTGGACTTCATTAATTAAAATTAAAAAATACAATACCTTTGTATAAATAACTGATTGGGACGTAAACCTGCCAAAAATTTAGGATTTTGTCTTAAATATTTTGTTTTTGGGAGCGCTTAGATTACTAAGTGCTTACATTATATTGGCACCCATAGAATATTTATAAGGTATTCAATATTTCATTAAAATTTTGTAAATTTAAGCATACATTATATTATATACATACGAGACCACGACATAATAACGTATGGTAAGTATTGGAACATACATATATATTTATTTCTATGAATAAAATTCACTCTAGATTTTAAAGCTGATTTAAAACAAACGAATATTTAATTGTCTTTTTAAATAAACTGTTGTAAACATTACACATAGCTTAAGACTTTTATTACATTTGTAATATTGTGGTTATTTTTAAATACAAAAAAAAAGGCTTAGGACCTTAACAATACGACTTAATAGCATATAACATAATTTCAAAATAATGAAAACATAAGTGAGATGGATTTTTGTAATATGAAAAAAGAAACTGATTATCATGAAAAATTTCAGACAGTATCTAACTTATCATTTTCTTATTATTTATAATATCCGCCTAATTCCAAAGTTTGCAACAGTGTTATCTTATGAATTAAAATTGATTTTGCTCCATTAGATAAACGTAATACATATTTCCACCTCTTTCACAATCGCACAGAGCGAACTGTCAAACTCTTTACTCGAAATCTCCCGGCAAAATTGACACCTGTCACTGTTATGTCAATTTCGTATTATGAAAGATTATCAAAATATTGATCCAAAATTGTTTTTTAACATTGCTATGAGAAAACGGTGCCGTTTTTGTGCGGTCGTGTAAATATAACCTCTTCGTCGTCTGCGTTAATGCTCTCCGCAGTAGTGAGCGCCACGGTATCACTGTGCACGACATGCGGGGACTCGTTGAACTCGTCTAACTCTTCTATGCCAGCTGAAAATTATATAGATGATATATTTTTTATTAAATGTTGAGTTACTTAATACAACACGTTTTTATTATACTTTCATGTCAAGGTAAAAATATGGGAAAAACTTTTGTTGTATGATCAACATCTCGCCATTTTAATTTTATTCTGAACTTGCAGCGCACAAAGAACTTAGTATAAATGGATAGAAGACACTTAAACAAATAAAAAAAAAATCGCAGTACGGTGCCCTAAAGTGTCACATTTGCGATAAACTTGAATGTAAAGAAAATCATATGAAAAAATGACAATTAGGTATTTATAAATGAACTTAATTTAATTACATTTAAACTGTGTCACTTGTATTTAAATAATAGTTCTCATATCACAGTCCTTCTATCAAAACTAGCTGACCCGACAGACGTTATCCTGTCTACACGTCTTTAATTTGAAAATTTCAAACTTTTTTTAATAAGCTAAAACATTCTGGACCATTTTGATGAAAATTATTATTCAAATTGTGAATCTAAACCATTCTCAGATCCCCTTGAACACACACAAAAAATTTCATCAAAATCGGTCCAGTCGTTTGAGAGAAGTTCAGTGACATACACACTCACAGAAGAATTATATATATAAAGATATCTTAAAAATTACAGAACTTAGAACACCTTATTGCTGACTTTGTTGCTTCTTTAAATGGCCTCTAAAAATCGAATTAATATGGACAAGTGGATGGATAGAGAGAAGTGACATCTTTAAGTATTGAAGTTTTAGCCTTAAAAACTCACTAATAAATTTAAAAAAATAATACATTACAATTTTTTACCATCCATACTCGTAACATATATATTCTTTATTGCATATTAACAGAGTAACACAGATAATACAGACATAAGAGAGTAACACATATAATAAAATATAAATAATAATTTACCTGTATCGTCAGAAGGGGTCAGCAACAAATACTGCTCAGAACGCGTCGGCCACAGCAAGTGAGCCATGACGAAGAAAGCCATGCAGTCTGCTGAATATGTTATACCTAAAATGATATCTGTATTATTTATGCGCCTTGAAATCAACGAAATTTGTGTTGCGAGTCTTGAGCTCGGTTTTACTGTTATTAAAATATGAAGTTTACCATATAACGCTAATTTAAACTACAATACATAACATAACAACAATAAATATTTATAAAACCACTTACCTAAGATAAATTTAAATCTCCACAAAGGGCTAATCTGCAGAGCGATAAGAGCTATTATCGGCAAGTACACGAACCAAACGAGGCTCGAGGCTCCAAAATGCAATAAAAAGTTAAGTTTCGGCATATTATGCTCGTACATCATAGTGTTGCGCAGTTCCAACACAAACCAAGTCATGATGGCTACTCGTAATGAGAGCATTAACCACCCTGGCCACGTCTGGTACTCATCAATTTCTTCAATTATATCCACTTCAGTCTGAAATTATTACAATATTAGTTTTTACATAATTATTATTATACATAGTAAGGTGAATATGGTATGGGTAGTAAACAGATAGAACACCTTTTTACTATTGGCATACACACAGGTGCTTATGTAGGATTCACCTGATAAAAAAGCCAGCACTAACCAAACCCCCATTACCCCAAGACTTAAAACCATGCCGATTGGGAGCTTTATTAGCGAGCGCCGCGTAAATCAATCTAATATATAAAATTCTCGTGTCAGTGTTTGTAACAAAACTCCTCCGAAACGGTTTGACCGATTTTTATGAAATTTTGTGTGTATGTATATTCAGTAGGTCTGAGAATAGGACATAAACTATTTTTCATACCCCTAAGTAATAAGGGTGGTCCACCCCAAAATTGATTTTTTTATTTTTTGGACAAAAATGTGTATTTGATTTTTTTAATGATTCAGCATTAAAAATACATACAAACCTACATTTTCAGCGAGGGTGAGTCACAAGTAAGTAGTTATATAAAAACAATGTATTACGGAATTATTCCTCTTAAAAATATCTTTCATATATGATTTATTTAGTACATAATATATCATAGTAGGTATAGGCAATGGTAGCCCAGTGGTAACGCGCTCGCCTGGGAAACCGAGTGAAGCGGGTTCATATCCCTGGTCTCGCACCGGTGATGTGATCATGTGCGAATCATTTCTAACACGATAACCACTTGCCTTACGGTGAAGGAAAACATCGTGAGGAAACCTGCATGTCTAAGAGAACCTAACAAGGTGAAGTCCGTCAATTTGCACTTGGCCAGCGCGGTGGACTATGGCTTGATCCCCTGGTAATGAAAGGAGACCCGTGCCTAGCATTGGGACGTTAAAAGGGACTGAATAAATACTATACAATATTTATACTACATAATAATATAGACATTATATGTGTAGATATACTCTCTAAAGCCGCGATGATACGATTAAAGTCTACTTTGGCAAAAGTAGTTTTGATGGCCACTTTGATAGTCTGATCGGAATCCGGTTTGGGAACAAAAAAACTAGATCCTGAAGTTTTATGTTTTTAAAACGTTAGGTATATGAGAAATAAAAATCCGTAAAATGCCCCCGATGTCCAGCTTCCCCGAGAAATGGGGGGGATGAAAAGCGATGCGAAATGCGAAGCGAAAAATAGTTTTATTTCAATTCCCGGTTTACTGCGACGTCCTATCGAAAAATGTTTTCTACAAAAGTTGCAGATCTAGTAAAAATCTACAACTTTGATAGATGACTCTTTTTACAATAACCTCAAAGTTTTCGAGATATTAGCAAAAACCTTGAATGTAATCTTCAAAATACATATAATAACCAAAAAGTTTTTGAAATTGAAAAGCCGCCAAATATCTATTGAAGTATGTAATTTAATATTATGAAAACAAAACATTTGTGGGTATCTCTCATAAAATTTTATCTTGCAATATCCTTCTCTCTTAATCTATCAAGTAGTAGTCCTTTCATTTAGTATGTCTATTAAAGTTGTGTTAAATTAACAAAAGAAAAAAATTGATCCCAAAAAGGTATTTATATAAGTGAAGGGAAAAGAAATAATGCGCCTGTAAATTAAATTTGTGTAATTTTACTGTTATTGAAATACCAGCAATCAGATGATGGGTTTGTAGTGTATATTTACAGGCGTTTTTATTTTTTATGAATTGTTTATCACTGTTAAAAATTGTTAAAATCGAAGATTCTAGCTTCGCCCACTAACGCTCACAACGGGTTTGAAGTCATAGGGCTCGTGCATGTTGCTAATGCTTTAGTGAGGAATGATTAATGATTTGTAATAAAATCAACATACAAATAAAATCTACATTAAAGTATTAACTTTATTTTGAAATACTTATTTTTAATCATTTTAAATACAACAATAGAAATGTAATAAGTGTTTTATATAATTTAATAACCAATTTTTAAATTTAGTAATGTTTGTGTCCATTCTTAGCGTCATTTAAGCCAAGAAAAACTAGAAAGCATGCTTGAATCTTGCTGATTTTTTTACTGAAGCTTTCTATAATATGTATTTATTCAAAACTATACAAATTTTGCAGAACCAAACACTAAAAGTGTTGTAAAAAAATTATTGTTGCTATTGAGAGCGCATAATTGTAAAAACAACATTAAAATCCATAAAAACGATAGAAAGCAAACTCGGAGCTCGTTGATTTTTTTATATATTATTGTACTTGTATATACTAACAGAAAACCGTTTGAATTAGACAGGATCAAGCCATAGTTTATTTGTAAAAAAAATTAATATTGCCTCCTGGTGCCTTCTCATACTAACATTGAAAAGTATACAATATATTCTTTTAATATCAAGCAACTCAAAACTATTTGAAACTCGAATAATAATAAAAATACATGAGAGACGTCTGAACGGTACGGTATGCAACGACGGACTAATTATTACTTGCATTGTAATCACGGTCTAAGCGTCTTATCTGCAAATAATCACTTGGGAGCGCAAAATCTCAGTGCTTGGTTTATTCAGCGAATACAGTAGTAGTATAGTATTATGTGATCTGTAACATTATCTATCTGATAAACATACATCTTGAACATTTCCTATGTATAGGAATCAGACCTATATTTGTATCCTCCACTACCAATTATAATATTATGTATGTATATAATTCATTTTAAATAAAGACTTACTGTATTCCAAACATATAGGAGAATATGTACTATTCCATAAACCATCCATACTCCAAACACTAGTGGTTTATATGTCAGTTCAAGTCTTGTCACTGCCCAACCTTTTGCTAGCAGTAAAAGGAGAAGCATGAATAGTGTCTGAAAATATGTTGTTTAATAAATGTAAAAGTTTTTTTCATTACTATTAATATACAAAGGTAATATATTAATATCAGTATATAAAAGTTTAATAAAATAGTGCAGTTTAGACATCGCATAAGTGACATGGTAGGTGTTAATTTAAAATATAAACTTACTCTGCTCATGATATCAAGTATATCCCCAGCTACAGCTAAACCAGCAAATCCAACTCCATCTGCTGCATACTTCACTGCATGTACAACATTAAAACAAAGTGCAATGAACTCTAGTACCAAGCTAGATGTAAATAATTTTGTAACTGGATGCCTTTGAGTCCTAAAACAAAAAAAGATATATATTTGACTCTAGTATTAAATTAAAAAGTTTTTTAATATGATATTTCAATATCATATATATTGAATATACTACAGGTCCACCTCACAAAATGTCTTGGACCTTCAGAGTATCACATTTGAGTTAGTTTAAGAAATAAAATGTTTATATATTATTAATATTTTTTTATCTATAAAATTTGTATTAAAATTTGCATGTCATTATAATACATACTATTAATTTATTACCTACCTTACTGCATAAATTTGAACTGGCAGAAGAATAATATAACACAGCCAAAACATCAAATACAATTCTAAAGTATTTTGTCTGTCAAAAGAGAATTGATATAGCATTGAATTATAAAAGGACATATTTGGGCTCCCATTAACTAGCCATAAATCATACTGTATGGTTTGTGAAACACTTGTTAATGTTTTATTATCCAAAGATGGAGCTCCAGTATAGTGATGCCAAGTACATGAGTCTTCATCTAAGTAACATGATACTATTGAGATGTACCAAAATCTGGAATAAAAAGTATAATAACAGATACAAAAATATAATGAGTGCATCAAATTTAAAAGTTGTATTATTGTTTTTACAAATTCTAATATCTTAATATATAATATTATCTTACTAATACTATAAATGTGAAAATTTAGATGTTTGTTACTCAATCAGGCCAGAACAGCTGAACAGATCTGGATGAAATTTGGCACAGAGAGAGATTAGTTTGGAATAGCACATAGGCTACTTTTTATCCCAGAAAAATGTATAATTCCCAAAGGATAGATTAGTTTTTTTTCTAGAGGTGAACCCGAGTAAAGCGAAGGTGAGCTGCTAGTTCTATAATATATTTGTCATAACTTCCTTACCTGGGTTGACCACTGTTTTGTATAACATATGTAAACTGGTTATTTTTAATTACATTCCAAGGATAATCTTCATCTATGCAAAGTTTTCCTTGTTCACAAGGGATTCTTCTAAATAAGTCCTGTCCATTAGCATTACATTTAGGGTGGAAAGCTGATCCATTTAACTGTTGAAACATTACCTGACAAGCAATTTCTTTATCAACGATATCACGGCTTTTATAGTAATGTAAAAAATGTGGTCTATCTAAAACTGCAAATGTTATAGGATATTTAAAATTATCTTTCGAAGTTAGGTTACCAAAAATATAACCATATGTTTCCTTTTGAAAATGAATATCTGTTTTCTGAAAACCAAATTTTACTAAAAACTTGAAAAAATCGCCTGTCGAAAATTCTCCTGTTATTCGTGTTGCTGATACAGCCAATAAAACACAGGATAACAACAAAATCACAAGTGTTCTATACATTTCGACGTTAAGGTGTGAACAGTATCAACATTTCATAAACTCCAATTGTTTTATTTTCAGTAATAGCTGACACATATCTTCCATTGTAATAAGAATGTTTTACATTTTATTTGCTCACAATCATATATTTTTATATGATTATCAATGCATATAATATAACAAATATGTTAAATGTATGGCATCGGGCATCGGCCATTGACAAGCGGGCAAGGTGTTGTCAAGTGTCATGTCGATTGTCGATTGTGATTTGTGACGTTCACAGACTATAGAGATATAGAGAACCTGTAATGAACTGTACAGTGTATATCACTAATATTTAAGATTAAAATTATTTATAGACATAAGATTTTCAGGCAATAATAGAACTAAAATGGGGCTAGCACTTTTTTAAATTACTGTCACCAGATATTTTGTTACATTTTTATTTCATGAAAGTTTATGTTTTGTTAAGAATATTGAGGATAACCAACAATTTTTGATATAGTTACTCTAATTTTATCTTTATAGATATATATAGGTGCCTTTATATAAATATAGCCATATATATATTACTAGCGCTCGGGTTCGTCCCTAGGTTGATTCCTCATACAAACTTTCATCCCCATTTTCACCCTCTTAATGGGTAATTTCCGGGATAAAAAGTCCGATTCTATGTCCTTAGCAGGGTCTCAAAATATCTTCTTACCAAATTTCATCTAAATCGGTTCAGTAGATCCAGAGATTACCCCCTCCAACGTCACAAACTCACAAACTTTACCTTTTTATATTATTAGTATAGAAGTATAGATAAAATGACGTATAAATTATAAAAGCCAAAAAGAAAAGAGAGCAGTATTTTATTTAACAGACCAATTGCAACATAAATGAATACTAAAGAGATTGTTTGATACACTACACATTCATAACTTTAAATACATACGTATTATAAATATACACACTCGTGACAGGAGTACAAGCATGAATGAAGTGTTCATCACACAAATGAATGGCCCTAGCGGGCTCGAACCCACGATCGCTGGCACGGTTAGTAGGGTCACTACAAACTGGGGCCTAACGTGTTGTCATTTACATAATATTATTGACTCTCTATTATTTTATGAACCAAGTTCAAAGAAAAAGGAGGTTGTCATTAAGGTGACATATGCGACAATAACTAATAGATAATAGAAAAATTCAAGCTATTTCTAACTCTCTTATGGATTTTAAACTTTTTATTTCAATCCAGACAATAATACAATAATTTGAAATTATCAAGTTGTTCTGATGTTGGAGCCAGAAATAAATTTAAACTCTTTATTCCATTCGTTAAGTTTTGACGAATCCTTAATGTAATATAATCAGTCAAAAGTGTGTTTTTATGTTTTTTCGGTTTCCATAATTATTAGCAAAATATTTTTAATATTATGGTAACATAGCATTTTATTATTCTTTTATCTCTTTCTTAACAACGTTAGTCGGTACCTACTACCTAGATTAGCGACTGGCTACTAGCGACTAGCAAGTAGCAAGCCCAAGTATATAACTATACTCTTTGAGCAAGCCTATGTCTCATCATGTCTCATGTTCAAAGTAACAAGAGCATTCACTAATAAAATCAGTCATGGTTCAGTTTTATGTATAATGTAATTTACTTCAAAGATTTTGCGATAAATTAAGTGTTATTTGCTACCAATTTATTTTTTTATAATGTCTTCGTAGCTATTATTATATATATATATTTGTTCCAAATAAAGATTTATTTATTATTTATTTATTATTTATTATATTCAATTGAAAGATGTTCTCTAGAAACAAGAATCGTCTCTACTTGGCACTTGCCCTCTCATTCTGACAGTACTTGCTTGTCAGCCATATAATAGTAACTCGTCAATGTAACTAGCCCTTTTCTTTGTGACTTGTGAGGTTTTATTCATTTTCAATGGTTTTATCTATTTTATACGTGAATATAAATAATTTTCAACTTTATTAAATAACGAATCAATGATAATATTGTAAAATTGAATCATTATGGTGTTCTCGTCCCGTAACCTCAATCGAGCGGAAGTGACAAAAACCTGCTGATTGTAGTGAATTTATACATTTTATTAAATCTAACACTGTGCTTTTTGAATAGTGATTGGATTATTCATGTTGTTACCTAGTGGTTATTCTGATATAATGGTAGAAATAGGTGCACCACAGCAATCCGCAGAAGACAGCTTAGAGAATGCCGAATGGTACTGGGGCGATATAACTCGGTAAGAAAAGAAGTGTTCTAATAATTAAAATAAAATTAAAGACATAATTTCTCTTCTACATATAAAATGTAATTACCACCGGCATATGATAATATTACCCATTGTGTACTTTACATAGACTTATCTATACATATAATAAAATTGTAACTAAATCGAATCTGTACATTAATTATTTTTTTTTAAATCTAATTGAAATAGACATTATTATCGAAACAGATTCCGATTCTATAGTTTTTAGAATTTTTGTCTGTTTGTTACCGCATCACGAGAAAACCACTGGACAGATTTTGATGAAATTTGGTATGATGATAGCCGTTTATCCGGGTCAACATATGGGATACTTTTTACCGCGGGAAAATATCTCATTTCTGAGACAAAATACAAAAGTTGCATTGTAAGATCATACTAATATGTAAAACCTAAGAAATTGGTTTTTGGTCATCTGGACGCGGGCGGAGCCACGGGCAATGCTAGTCTTGAAATATATTTAATATTTTATGACAGTAATCTGTCAAATAAAATAATTTTACTTCTTTATTTTTATTAACCTTTTCTGCTCTGCTCACTCTATAACTTTATCCTGCACATTCTTTTCTAACTTTTACTTTGTTCTTTGTTCATTGATATCATAATAATATACAATATTGAAATTAATGATTTCACAATCTATGATGATCACTGAAACCATCAATTAAAAGACATCTTTGTTTTCCTGGCAATAATAATGTGTTAAATATTGACCTGAATATTAATAAATAATTATATAAATCAAAACTAGTTATAAAGTATAAGGATTATAATACAACTGTTAGAAACACATTGTCTTTCCAGAATTATGGTTATCTTAATTTTAATCAAGTATTGTAGGTAATATTATATGTAAGTATTTTGTATTTATAATAGCAGTATTAAACATGTCAATATTTATCAATAAACTAAAAAATGTCATTATTCTCATCCTGGAAAACCGCTGGTTTATTTGATTTGGGCAATAGTAACTAACTCATAAATAGAAACACTTTATCATTAACAATTCTTTAGTAAGAACACCTAAAATATATTATCACATGTATGTATAAATGACATGAAATTTTCTGTTTAAAATAGAATTGGTAGAAAAAGGAATATGAAAATAACATGATTTTATAATTAGCAATATTATTATAGATCATCAATAACCAAATATACATAGTTATATATTTTTTATTAATTATGCATCCACTTATTTGTATTTATGTGTTACATATATGTACATATTATAATGTTTTCCTTTGTGAATTTTCCATAATTACATAAATGTGTGTTGAAATATATTAAACATACTCTACTATTATTATATATTAAGTATATTATCCTTTAATATTGATTTATTTATGTTTTAAATAAAGTCAAACTATTAGCAATAGAAAAATCATTTAATGATATTCATTGTCAAATAATATTTGCAGGGAAGAAGTAAATGAAAAATTAAGAGATACATGTGATGGTACCTTCCTTGTTCGTAATGCATCAAATAAAGAGACTGGGTATACATTAACTGTAAGGAAAGGGGGTACAAATAAACTTATAAAGATTTATAACCAAGATGGCCATTATGGCTTTTGTGAGCCATATGAGTTTAACTCTATTGTTGACCTTGTTAGGTTCTATACAGAATATTCACTGGCACATTGTAATAGCAGTCTGGACATTAAGCTCATGTACCCACTGTCTCGACATCAAGAAAATGACTGCGGGGAAAACATCAATGATGAAAATTTGGAAACACGTTATAAGGATATTCACAAAGAATTTGTACTTAAAACCAGAGATTACGATAAGCGCTCTGATAAATATATGAGGCTACGTGAAGAGGTGAAGTTCAAGAGGCAAGCTTTAGATGCTTTCAAGAAGACTCAGAAAGCCTGTGAAGATCATTTAAAATTACAAGAGAAAATGCAATCTGAGGCTCAACCACATGAAAAAAATGATTTAATAGAAAATAATAGACAACTTATATCAAGGGTCAACAGTCTTAAACAGGCGGGACTCCGCTTAAACAATAATCTTAAAGAAACTGTTGAGTCTAATTTACTTCTGGAAAGAGAAATAACAAAATTAAAATCTGAGATTATTCATTTATACAAGATAAAAGACCGATACAAAGTGTAAGTCATATTTATATTTTTATTAATCAGATTTCAGCTATTTTTTGTATATCCATATTGTTATATGAAAACATTTTTGAAATAATAAGTAAATAATGTTTTTATTATAATTATAATAAATAAAATTTTTGTTTACTGAAAATATACCTATTAATTCAGTTTAATTCTTTAGTTCAATTTCTCCTAAGAGTTGCCATTTGGGCACCAACTTGTCTAATAATTAATAAAATAGTATTTCAAGTTTCAACTAAATCTCATTACAATGCATTCATATTTTAAATTAATGTCCTTAGTGCAGCTTTTGCATAAATTACAGATTTATGTCCGCCACTTCGTCAGTGTTATCTACTGGGACTAAGTTTTCTGCCATTGCATTATTATATAGGCTTTTATTTTATTTTTTTTAAATATAATATTAATTCATGAGTAGACCAACTGGTTTCAAACAAATTAAAAACTCCTGTCACAAACTGGTATTTAGGTAAATACCAATTTTAACTCTTATGTACATATGACGACGAAATATTTTTTTTATGCTGAGACATTAACACAGCGCCATCTAGTTCCATGGTAAGCTACGAGGCTAATGTTATGAATACCAGATAGTTGATACACATATATAATTTTAAATACATACATATTATAAATATAAACACCCATGACTGGATTACAAATATTCGTGCTTATCACACAAATGAGTGCCCCCAGTGGGACTCGAACCCGCGACCGCTGTCACAGCAAGTATCGCTAAGTGTCACTACAAACTGAGCCAAACGTGTGAGGGATCGTAAGTTGATAAAGCAACCAAGCAGCACTTTTTCACACTCAACTCACTAATACCATCAAGACTCGTTAATTAAATACCCGTCTATACTATACATATAATAAAACTCTGAGTCGAATCTGTACATTAAATATTTTTTGGAAAATCTTATTGAAATAATCATTATTATCGATACAGAGGCCGATTCAGATTGTTAGATACTTTTCATCTGCACTTCTCAACTGACCTGCACAACTGAATAGATGAGTAGGATTCCAAAGACCAATTTAGATTGCTGAATTTTAATGTGTTACCCTGTTATATCATACTTTGTTTTTGAATAAAATGTGATTTGTGCTCCATGACAGACTTACCAAGGTCACACTCAGTGACAATAGGATTTAATTTTAAATTACATTACATTTTTTAGACTTTAATATAACATATCATTCTGCCATCAACATACAATTGATACATAAATCATTATGAATTAACAAGAAAAAAAAAATTAAAATAATTTTGTTTTTATAGGTGGTTACAAAGGCGAGGCAAAACACAAGAATATTTACATGCATTAGAAGATGATAACATACATATATTAGAGGAGTTATTATATGCTCACCGTGAAATGATTACTTGGATGGTTGAAAACTGTACTCGTGAAATGGCTGAGAGGATGCTAGAAGGGAAACCACAAGGCACATTTTTAATAAGACCTAATTCTACAGGTCAACTTGCACTGTCCATTTGCTGTAATAATATGGTATATCATTGTATAATCTTTAAGTCTGAGCGAGGTTATGGATTTGCTGAACCTTATAATATTTACAAGTAAGTAAAATCTTACCTAAAACAATCTTAATTATGTCCAAAATACTTTTTGGTTGTTTTGTTGAAATTGATCTGAGATAATTATTCTGTTTCTTTAAATATATTTGAATTTTTTGAAATTTTATCGAATACATTCTACATTATATCCCCAGTTTTTTTTGTATTAATTATTTTTTTTTATTGCATTAATAAATAAAATAGTCGTTATGCACGTTAATTTCATAATTAGTCAAGTCTGATCATTATTGATTACTAGCGACTCACCCTCGCTTCACTCGGGTTCGTCCCTAACTTGCTTCCCCATACAAACTTTCATCCCCATTCTCAACCCCTTAAGGCCGGGATAAAAAGTATTTCACTCACTCACTTGATCACTCAATATCATGAGATTTAAAAAAAAAACTTATGTTAGTAAAAAAAAAAATATTTTCTTTTGATTTTCTTCTATACAAAACAAACAAAAAAAATAAGAATTATCCAATTTGGTGCAATCTATCGAAAGTTATGCTCGTACATACATTTCGGTGATTAATTTTTATTTATATCGATTTTGTGAATGTCATGCAATGAATAACATGTTAATTTTGAACTAAGTTAATGAGGATCAGTACAGTTATAGCAAATTCCATAGAACTAGTATCCACGTTATTTTATAAGACATAAGAATGATATATCTTTTTGAATTATCTAATTCGGACCATAACTTACGAAGATATTAAGTAATAAACATTACGCCGTTCCTGCCGGCAAAATCCATGTACGCGGGTGCGTGTGACGTCACTGTGACGGAACGAACGTAGCCGGCCCACCGCCCGGGCCTCTTACTTCACACTTTTCGCGACGCGGTTGGCTACTGCATTTAGTAATTACTTATTTAGTGTTTTTTCAAGTGTGTTTGTGATATTTAAATATATTTAGACAGTATCTACATCTATACATATAATAAAATTCTAACTAAGTCGAATCTGTACATTAAATATTTTTTGGAAAATCTTATTAAATTAGACATTATATAGGCCGAATCTATAGTTTTTAGAATTTTTGTTTGTCTGTCTGTTACCGCATTACGAGAAAACCACTTGACAGATTTTGATGAAATTTGGTATGATGATAGCTGGTTATCCGGGTCAACATATTATAGGATACTTTTTACAGCGCGGGAAAACATCTCATTTCTGAGAAAAAATACAAAAACTGGTTAGAATGAAACCACGATGATACTATATTCATACATTTTAGCAAGGTAACTTACGTACTAAATAAGGCAAACACAATTAAAAATTGCTTATCTTGAAAAAAAAATAACAATAGCGCTACATATTTTATTTGGTTTTTGGTCATCTAACCGCGGGCGGAGCCGCGGGCAATGCTAGTAATAAATAAGTTAATACTTACTATTACGTGTAGTGCAAGTGTACCTATGAATTCTCTTATTTTAAACCTAACTACTAAACTAATTTATTAAAAACCTAACTACTTTTTTATTAGTTTTGTAGATAAACCTACATACCTACCTATTCGTCCGTTCCCATTTCTATGTATTATTCCAAGGTCAATGACACAGGGACATACTCGGGTAAAAAGCAAATAGTGAATGATAATATTTTTGAATAGCTGTGTATTTATGTATCTACCTCAGCTATGTCTTATTGTTAGAAACAAATAAATTAAAATATACATATATATTTTATATTTTAGTTAAAAAAAGATATGGAAAATTACGTCAGTTTTACATTTTGGTATACTCTTACATTGCAGTTTTTGTATGTTTTCTTAGAAATGAGATGTTTTCATCATACCAAATGTAATCAAAATCCGTCCAGTGGTTTTTCCATGATGCGGTAACAACCACAGACAGACGGACGGACGGACAGACAGACAAAAATTCTAAAAACTAAAAAATTCGGCCTCTGTATCGATAATAATGTCTATTTCAATAAGATTTTCCAAAAAATATTTAATGTACAGATTCGGCTTAGTTATAATTTTATTATATGTATAGATACTCGTACTAAATAATAAGTATAGTTATGTAGTTACGTAAATCAAAATGATCTTCACAGCAATGTCTTGTAGCCTGGGCAGAGGGTGGAGTTTTATCATCTCTTTTTACAACGGAAAACCATTTTTTACGAAGTTTTCGGTCCTTCGGTACGTTAAAAAATAGTTTTTCTGGCGTTTTAAAAGTACTGTTTGTACATTTCGGCACTATACAATATTTGTACATAATTAAAAAGGTGAATTAGACACAAATCGCACACTTAATTTGTTTCAAAGTCATTAAAACACTGCGCGCCTTATTGCTGCCAGCGGCTTACCGTCTCTATGACGTCACAGCTATCGCGGCGGCCACGCAGTGAACTTCGCTAGTAATTTCCTCATAACTTCGTCATTTTTTGTCGTAGAACAAAAATTTTTGCACTGTAGTTAAGGATTTCTTAGCTCTATAAATCTGCATTCTCAACTAAAAACGTCACGGATCCTCATTATGTCAAATGTGTAAAAGTATTTTTTTTTTTGTGAGTATTTCTCAAATTGGATATCCAAAACCTGATTCCAAGCTTTCAGGAAGATATTTAGTTATATGAACCGTTTTTTATTTTTTTTATTTTTTTAGGACATTAAATGAGCTTGTCTTGCATTATGCTGTTAATTCATTAGAAGAACACAATGAGCAATTAAGGACTGCTCTGAAGTATCCAGTTAATGCACATTTAGTAAAACCTGATAAAAAAATTCATGAAGCACAGACAGATTTATCTCATCATGAAAGCCACCATGAAACACAGCTGCAGTACCAATGCAGGCAGAGGAAGCAACTTCACCCACTTCCATAGTGACACATAATGCGGACTTGGCCTAAATTTCTGCTAGTCATTTTGTGAGGAAGACTACAGTTATTGGTTTTCATTGTGGATAAAAATCTATCCTACCAGAGAAACCGATTTCAAGGATTATTATTGCTGGGCTGCAATATTATACTATACTCTTGTACACATTAAATTCCAGATAACAAATTGAAATTATAATATACTTGGAATTAAGATGTAAATCTTTTGCGACGCAGTGTGGATGCATCAATGGTAATGTGATATTTTTTGATAAAGGTTTCATGTGATATTGATTGGGTGTGGACTATTTCGTCTATGCACATGTTTAAGGTAACAAGTGTTCGCTTTGTATGCTGTCCCATCATGACATAAAGTGAATATAGTCATAAGAGACCATTATGCATTTCGTTTGTATGTCATAATTATTATATATGTAACTATGGGTCAAATGTACAAAAAATAATGTTGAAAACAATATTGTTGATTTGTCTTATAACATTTTGTTACCCACATTTTTTATAAAGTTAATTTATTTTCATTTTTAAATATAGATCTGGTAAAGATTGAAACTGTGTGATGATTTATACAAGATGTAGGTTACTCTTTTTAAGGCGCCATAGGTTCTAGGAAAAGTTTTATCCAAGAGGTCAAGTCGCCCACTTACTTAGCTATATGTATACATATTGTGTGAAGTCTTATTAAAATCATTCAAACTTTAAACCTGGATGTAGCCATTTCGCAAACCGACAACGCCTAAACAATTTTCTATTAAGTTGAATCAAACTAAATATAGTATAAATAAATACTAATATTTATTTATAAAGTCCTCCAAATCAAGAAATTTTTGAGAACATAAACTAATCCAAAAGTGAGTTATTTTAAAAATGAATTTATTACACCATATTTTACATATATGTAGTTTGCAATAAATATGATGCAGTGTTTTTTTGTAGGGTATGTTGAATAGCATACAGTTTATAAGTATTTAGTTACTGTATTGAACCCTAAGAAAAGTTTGATGCCTATGGTGTTATAATACTGTTAAGTAAAAGTAATATATAAATATATATATATATATAACTAACTATACATGTGTATTATAAGCAATAACATAGTAAATGAACTATAAAATCATTAAATACTGTTTGTGATGTGAATAATAAAGGGCCTAAATTCAAAGGTATCGATCACTATGTACTTGTATCTTACTAAAAATATCATTGTGTTATAAATTATAATATACATATTGTTTTGTAATTATGGTGATTTTCAATCATAATCAGTGAATTTTCAGATTATGATTTGTATATATGATTTGGTTTATGTATTTGCTATCTTAAATAAAAAACAAATTTGTGTTTCTTCCTATAGAAACTGTGATGGAATTAATATGGCTCATCCATCTTTCATATTTTTTAACGGTATATTAGTAAAATATGATGCTTATAAAACTTAAGTGGCTTATCTAATAACCTTAAGTGCGTACCAGTATTTTATAGGGATCTAACTAAACATATGTATGTACATATTCTAGTAAAAACATTGTCATTGGTTAAATTCATTTCTATTTTTATTAGAATATTTTAAAATATGGATGATGATTCCATTGACACAAATGTATCATTTTCATACAACCTAAACAAAGATGTTAAATAAAAAAAACTTATATAATATAAACATCAATTCAAGTCAATTGTTTTATAGAATAATTTTTGATACCTTTTTGTTTTTGCCACAAATTTATATGAAAAAATGTTTAATTGTAATATGTTTTCATTTGTCCTTTATAACTATACATGTAAGTGTACGATTTAACAAAAAAAATGCATGCTTTTCCAGAACCTCATCTTCCACTTAACAAACTTTTTTAAAAGAAATCTTGTTTAATGACCCATTAATTTAAAATGTATCATAATATATAGAGAGATATGTTGGTTAACATTAGGTATTTAAAGAATTGTTTTTATATACTGAAGAATATTGCTTTAATGTGTAGCATATAAGGTATAAAAATCTTATAAGTTACAGATTATTATTTAAGTGAGATTATTAAATTGGAGTTATTTTTGTATTTACTTCGATAGGTATTATTAGATTTTGTATGTATAGTTAGTATATGTTATAATTTTACTATAATTGTAATATTGTGTATCAGGTTGATTGCAACTGAATGCAGTAGTAATTAATCTATTTGATCTCAATGATAAATTAGTTTACAAAAATTATGCTCTCAATCCAATCAGATGTTTTATTGAAGCGGTTGAGCCAAAAAAAATTATTTATATTAAATATAAAGCTCCCCTACGAAATTTTGAAGTCGCCATTTTTATATGTAATTTCAAATGTGTTGAATAAACAATTTATCAGTATATTTTATCTTTAATTTATTTAATCATTTATTTTAGTAAAGAATTTAAGAAATATAAATAGGTACTTATATTATCTGATTATATGCATCCTATAGCGCTCGGATTTTTTTTATTCCAAAAAATATACTTTTGGCAATCTGAAATTTTAATCACGTATTTATTGGGTAATTTTCAATAATACTTGCAAATCCCCAGACGAATTTACCGGTTTTAAACCATTCCAGGACGTACTCATTTGTAAACTTTATTTACGTTAGAGAAAAAAATGAATCTTTGGAGAGGTCTGGCAATACTTTATAACCGACAAAAACGTCTGGGGTTCTTTTTTTTTAATTATATGAAAACTAAATTAAAAGATTAAATAAAAATCAAGTTGCCAAAAATATGTTTTTTTGGATATTTTTTTCAAATGTTATATACTGCGCAGTAACAAAATAACAGCTAAAACTATACCAGACTCGCGGGACTGGACTCGCTAATTCACGAAATTATATTTTTTCACAATTTCAACTTGCCAAAAGACCTTCCCAAAATTCAACACGAGCTCTCGGACTATATGTTACTTTATCAATATATATTTATCATTGCTTTAGTTATTATCCACGCGAATGAATCTGCGCGAGGTCTTCAGCCCAATTTCAGGGCGGCCAAAAAGTTTGGCGAGTATTATATTTACGATGAATGGTCGCGTCGGTAGGCGACCCGCGATATCATTAGACATGCGTAGGACCTACCCTACCCCAGCCTGCAAATTTATGATATTTGCAATGAAAAAAATACTAATCGATAGATTTTCAATAGCTCAATTTAACTACGTAGCCCTTTCAAATTGCTCACCTTTAATTATTTAATTAAAAATCAATAAAGTCTTTGAAAAAAAATTAATTTATCTGTATATTCAAACTCCTATATCTTTTGATGTATACAATATTTCAAATTGCTCAAAGTTCTAAAACACTGCTCAAGTTGCATTTGTAATTGCTCAAGTAGAGTTTTTACCAGCTCCACTTTCGCTGATTATTAAATAATTAAATGTTCTTTATGTTATAATATCTGAAGTGGAATCACGTAATGTGAACAATTCATAAATTCAATAAATTTAAAGAAATCCACCGAGAAACAGAATTAAGACGTTGAATTGAACGATTGTCCAAGCCCGCCGAGGCCGACCGACAATGCGCGGTGCGCATGCGCACGCTCACTTAACCTACGTTACATTTATTACAACTATACTTTTAATTATTTAATAATCAGCGAAAGTGGAGCTGGTAAAAACTCTACTTGAGCAATTACAAATGCAACTTGAGCAGTGTTTTAGAACTTTGAGCAATTTGAAATATTGTATACATCAAAAGATATAGGAGTTTGAATATACAGATAATTTTTTTTTTTTCAAAGACTTTATTGATTTTTAATTAAATAGTTAAAGGTGAGCAATTTGAAAGGGCTACGTAGTTAAATTGAGCTATTGAAAATCTATCGATTAGTATTTTTTTCATTGCAAATATCATAAATTTGCAGGCTGGGGTAGGGTAGGTATGCGTAGGTCCGGATTGAAATAGTTCCCGGAACTATGTCCTAGGCCGGAACGATATCGTTCCCATAGCAATATACTCTATGATCGTTCCAATCCGCGATGTCAATTGAAACAGGTTCACAGTTCCATATAGTTCCACATGTGCAGGAGTGAGATGGAGCGAGAAACGAATATATTGGACCGATCACCGGAGCGACTGACTGAACTGAACGTAACCGACTCCTGCCGAACCTACCCGAGCTATAGCTGTATATTAAATTTTAAGGTGCTTCCTCACAAGAGTTTAGTAAACATCTGTTAAGCCGCGTCCACATGCTGGGCACTTGCCACAAGCACCGAGAATCTTAAACACGTGCCAAACACCGAACACAAACTAAATACATTAAATAATTAAATTAAAATAAAAAAGCCTTTCATTTCTTGCGCTTACTGTAAATGCTATTAAAACAAATTAAGAAAGTAGGTATTTATTAATTATTAATAAAATCCTTTCATATTCAGTTATATTATAATAATAGTATTAGATCTAATGTTATATTAATTATTATGTATATAAAGAATGTTTATTAATTTAAACTTTTTTCTTAATTTTTACAATACCTAATATGAATTAGAATTTATAATTAATAAAAATAATTACAATAAATAATTAAAAATTAAGATCAATATATATAATAAAATAATTCATAAGTTAAACAATCATTTACAATATTTTTATTTATTTGAAGTAGTTTTTTTTAAGTTTTTATTTTCCATTTTTAGTGTAGATATAGTAGGTACCTAGTACCAAAGTAAGAAGAGGTCAAACAATAAAAAGATATATTTATACGTGTCGAATTGAGAACCTTCTCCTTTTTTTCGTGGATTTAAAATGATTTCAGTTAAAAAATATTAGGTATGTGATGTTATCTGCTGCACTGCTGTGTGGAAGCGCCATTATATCGCGTAACTACTGTAGTGACTAGTGCGTGTGCGAGTATTCGCAATAATTATAATGTCATCTCTTACTATGCTATTACAATTAATAATGTGCCAACTTCACTGTGCGTTAAAGTCGATAATTCATTGATTAAATCTGATTTTCGTTTTGAACTTTTAAAACATTAATAATATATTTTTAAATTTTAATATTCTTTCACTTTTGACACAATATTTTTGTACTTTGTTGCGTTCGTCTAGATTCACATTGCGCGCGAAAGCACCGTAGTTTTTTTTAAGGTGGTTTAATTTTTTTTAAAACCTTTTTTATTTCGTAATTTTTAGTTTTAAGTAAAAACTGAAATAGTTTTTGTAAAAAGTAGTAATTACAAAAAATACACTTTTTTATCCATATCTTCAAAACCACTGAACCGATTTTGATGAAATTCTTACTATTCCCTAAGTTAAAATAAATGTAAGCAAATAAAAAGGCATCATCACGTCGTTTGGAATAGTAGTTTCGGCGAAATGCGTGGACAAACATACATACACACAAACAAACAAACATACATACATACATACATACATCTATACACCTATAAAATTTTGTATATTTGCTTCGTAGCCCTAATATATCATATTATGTTAATATCTTGCAGTTCTAATAATATTATATGCATACGTGTCGAATTGATAACCCCCTTTTTTTTGAAGTCGGTCAATTAAAACTATATCTCCCGCTATGCTGTCCTCGGGAACCGATGACAGTGATAACCTGTTAAAATCGGAACGATCGGATCGGATGAACTATCGGAACTAGATAGTTCCGCGAACATGTTTCGTGAACATAGTTCCTTTATGGAAAGGAACTATTCCATGTTCAATCCACTCCAGGACCTAGTTTGCGCATCTCTGTATCATATCACTTGACACCTTCACCTATGGTTAACCTCCTCGCCCCCGTCTGCCGCTGCCCCCGCTGTCGGCTACTAGTAACGACTAGTTACGATATTATTACGTTTTGCGAGTTACTTTGATTCTGTGAGATCTAATTTAAGATAATCATCCAATTTAAATGTTGTAAAGGCCAGTTAAATTACAAAAAGAAAAAAACTATTCACTTAAAGACGAATTAGAGTTTTAAAATCACTTTCTTTAATATGATGTCCACATAGCTTTAAATATAAAGATTGTGATTTCGCTAATTTTGTTCGTCTTATTGCTTTAGCCCACAACTTCTTCAGTTTTTGGCTTTTGGGAACAAATGATATCCATTTTCTTTGCATCCTAGCATCGCACAATTTGACATTTTAATTAAATTTTAAATAAAATGAACAAAATCCATCCATGTCTAATATAAAGAGCTTTACAATATACACTGAGGGCTATGGTGATCGCGATATCTGGCGGGAGAAAAAGGCCAAATTCTTTCCCATTTTGTCGTCGACATTAGCTTATAATTTTTAATATTAATTGTATGTTCACTGAAAAACAAAGTAAGATCTTGGGGACTCGACATCTCCATAAAAAACTGCTTTTTAATACAAATAATCTAATGGCTATGACATATGAATATGACGAAATTTATTTATTTTTTTGCTATGGAACCCTTAACAACATAATAAGCACAAACTATGTAGAAATGCTGTGAATATCTTGACAGAAGTGCTGATAACGTCCAGATAAGGAGAAGTTTCATGATGTTGATAATATCATATCTAACGCAATGGTATTAAAATTATTATCAAAACTAAAAAAACTGTATTTCTCACATCTGCCAGGCGATCACCAACATTTTTATTTTCTTTGTTTTTTTAGTTTTTATTTGTATTATTCTCAGCAAGCCCTTTCATTAGATATTTATATCATCGGGGTGTATAAAAAACATAGTCCGCCATCTTTGGAAGTTTGCTATAGTGGATTTAAAACGCTAATCAAGGCACTTATAAGAACACTAAGGAAATGATAAATCACCATTTAGTACACACTATTTTTTACATACAAGTTATCTAATATTCGGCTAATAATCACTTATATCTTATTTATGTTATACGCAAGTTACTGTTTTTATATTGTAAGGTCAACATGTCTCACTCTTCTAAAAACTTGCTTTACTGGTAAAAACTAGCCAAGTCAAATCTTGAACTTTAATTTATCCTAAGTTATCTACTCTGTGTAAATAATTCGACTATTCAAATTTAAGAAGTTCTATTTTAAAATAGCAAACACTTTTATAGCAGAAAAAAACAAGAAATTGTGTTTTAAATTAATTTTAGAATGTTGTATGTTATTATGAAAAAAATTCAGGATTATCTATAGAACTTGGCACCCGTTTAGATCTCAATTTTATTATCGGTGAATTTGACAACCACGCGTATTCTTAATATTATTGAACTTGGCTCCCATTTTCACATTTATAATGTCTTTGATGGGATTAACCTTCACATTGTTTTTGTATCATTAAAACTACATTTTATCAAAAATGCGTAGTTGAGTGCCAAAATTTTGATTTCAGATCTTATTTGACCGGATTATAATCAAACAGACCACCGAATTTTAAAACAAAAATATAGCCTATTCTATTGGTTAATTAATTTAAATTTTAACGTGCACGCAAAACAAAAAATTAAATATTATGAAGCATAAACATTGCTGAGTACTGATCATAGACCACTTTTACTGATTGGTCTGTGTACTCTGTGGTTACGTGATAGGTACTTTGAACTTTCCATATGTAAAAATGTCTCTATGGTAGGACCCCTGATTACTGAATGAACACTGGTCACTGCGTAAATCGTAAAAATCGTAATGCGCATTGCCTGCCGCCATTTTGTTTTACATCCGGCTTCGGCGTTTGGTGACGCTTTAATTTAAGCTAAAGTTGTTGTTACTATTTCCTATAAATTATTTATACCTGCAAGTTGTAAGTTTTCAATATTAATATATTATTACGAAAATTGACCAATGGTATAATATAGTTAATAGAACAAAGTGCCTAATTCGTTAAGGTAAGCTCATGTTATTTTAACAGCGTGGACTAAATGCTACTTCGGAAATTAGAAGTTGTAAATTGTATTACTTATTTTATATTTATTTTAAGGTAAAATGTCACGCTACGGTGATTGTAAAGTTTATGTGGGTGATCTTGGTAATAATGCAAGCAAACCTGAACTTGAAGATGCGTTTTCTTACTATGGTCCCCTAAGGAATGTGTGGGTTGCTAGAAATCCGCCCGGATTTGCTTTCGTTGAATTTGAGGATCCTCGTGACGCTGAAGATGCAGTGAGTATCATCCATGTATGGAATACCGGTATTATAAAAGTGAAATTACATTGAAAACTGAAAATATAATAATAATGTATTGCTCTTCTAGATACGAGGCTTAGATGGGCGAACAATATGTGGTCGTCGAGCTCGGGTAGAAATGTCGAATGGAGGCCGTGGTTATGGCGGACGTGGACCACCACCCCGTTCTCGACTTCCTCCTCGTCCTTACGATGACCGTTGTTATGATTGTGGTGATCGAGGGCACTACGCTAGGGATTGCACGCGCCGTCGTCGTCGTAGGTGAGTAAAAGAATGATTCCAGTACATGTGTAAATGTTTTGCTGGTATGGAATCTTTATGAGACAGTTGGTCTCATCGATTTTGTTTTTACAAACAATCACTCTTTGTTAAGGTGGTGCAGTGGTGAGGTATATTAAACATTAAGGTTGTACTTAGTAAAGATTCCATTCCATTGCTATGAAACTACGTAAACCAATGATAACTATGTTATAGGTTATCATTGGCCTGTGCGCCGAGAACGAACTCTTCAGTGTCTGCACTTCTTATAGTCTGCGCTACGTAGCTTTCACTTCGCGCCGTGTACTCCACTAATGTTGGCAGCAACTAACTTCTGTGAACTACGTAACAGCCTACGTGCACACTTCACTTAACGACAAGTACATTGAGTGTAACGTTTGTTCTGCGCGTCGCGACACTTCTATTGTAATCACTGCGTGCACTCAGTGAGTTACACATTATTACCCCATATTTCTATACAAGACAGGCAGACTGGATATTTCCATTAAATGTGAAGGTGTATAATTCCTTAGGTTTCTATGTGTAAATGCACAAAGTAAAGCTTGTTTTGTATAGACAGACACAGAAGAGATGATGATAATGTTTTGTATGAACATAAGGGATACAAAAGACAGGATAATATTTTACAATATATTTACTAAATTTATATATTTTTAAAATTATCATAAACAATAATTTCGTTATAAATCTACATATTTAGAATTTATACTGTACAATTTTCTTCTTAATTAAACAAGGGCTTCAAATAATTAAATCATTATTCGAAAATGAATATATTGGTTTTTGTAGGAGTAAAACAATGAGGCATTATAGCGATTAATGTATTAATAGGCAGTGTATTGATAAGATTATTAAATTTTCTCAGCCGCTCGAGGTCTCGCCGTCGCACGCGCTCTCGTTCACCGAGATCTGGATCCCGGTCAAGAAGCCGTTCCCGCTCTCGTTCCCGTTCCAAAGGACGGTCTATGTCACGCTCAAGATCGCGTTCTCCATCTAAAGAATCGAAGAAGTCCAATTAAGTCCGTAAAGCAACATAGAACTACAAATTCCATTTTGTTTATTTTTAATTGTAATGTTAAAAAATAGTGTATTTTGATGAAAGTTTCAATAGTCCATTAATATTATGGAAATATAAATATCATTCCTATACAATGACTCTGTATTGTACCAGTATGGATTTTGTCATCAATATACTGATATTGAAATAAAATTGTTTTATGCATATTTGTCTTTTTATTCATAAATTAACAATCGTTTAGGGTACTAATTGATCCTAATCTCACATAGAACTACCTCACGTTCCAAGCAATAAAAATGTTTTTTTTTTTAATATTTGTGACTAAGGCCACTACTACAATAATTATTTGTTGTCTATGACGCTCGCCGCCCACAGCAACTGTTTACCGATATTAATGAATTATTACACTAATCTAAACTTATAATAAAATTGTTGACAAAAGAAACGTCCTGCTAAAGAGCGAAGAAAATTCGCTTCGTAAGTGCACACGAATTATACAAATGAGTAGGTACATGAACGAGCAACAATACGTATAATTCTCAATAATTTATACAATAACTAGCGACACACCCTTGCTTCGTTCGGGTTCGTTCTTAAGTCCGTTTTAACGGTTAGTATGAAATACACATTATTAATTTCTCGGCTTTTGTGTACTATATTATGCATGTATTATACACATTAACCTTCTTGATTCACTATCTATTGCAGAAAACTCCATTAAAATCCATTGAGTAGTTTAAAAGATCTAAGCAAACAGCCAGCGGAAGCGAGTTCATTTTATACTGTGTAAAGATATAGGAATTAATAAATAATTGAGAATAGTCAAAATATTTTTAAAATAAAGGAAATATTATAATATAGTGGTTACCAATAGAGTAGTAGTTTCAAAAAACGCGCTCAACGAATTCTGAATTCAATGTGACGTCATCAGGAACATCAGTACATTCGATCCGCGAGGAAGCTATACCATCGGCTCGGAAGGCAGTTCTGCTAAGAAGAACTGGCGAGAAACTACAGTATTTAATGCATTATAGCGCATGTGATCCAATTTACCTTATATCCATAGTTTTCATCTATAATCTCGCAGTAATATATTTTTTATTTTATTTTTAAAAAGTTGAAAAGGTAAATCTAAAATTTTTGAGGAATTTTATTATACATAATATGTATATGCGTCAGCCCTACGAAGGAATTATTCGTTTTTTGAAGAATCTTATATCTTTAAACGAGCAATTCTTGTATATATATATCGAAAACGGCTTTCGGGGGCGATAAATCCATCTTGTCTGAGAAAACGCTTGTTTTCGAGTTTTCATGCAGTTTTGTTTTGCATTATTCAACGCAAAATATGGTTGGTAATTTGCACGCTCGGGCATAAGCATCGTGGTCAAGCGGCCAAGGTGCAACAATCACAGGTGTCCAGGTTCGAATGTCGGTCGCATACAAAGTTATTACTTTTGTTTTTTTTTTAATATTTATTGAAGTTTTTAGTTTTTTTAAAAAGAAAGAAAATTGTACTTTAGGCCAAAAACTCCGAGCGAAGGTCGGTAGCCCAGGTACCATAATTAATAATCATAAAAAATAACCGATTATCGAGTTTGTTACAAACATCCCGCAGTGAATCACGAACTCTCAGATCATAAACTCCGTAGAAATATTTTTTGTTATTTATTTTTTTTATTTATTTTTAAGACAAAAGTATTATGTTACATTTATAAACAAAAGAAATAAAAAAAATACATACACCAATTAAGTCTTCACTGTTTACACATTCTTAAGGTAGGTATATGTTAGCTTACAAAAAAAACCGGGGAAATCACGAACAGACACTTCTGGTTAAAATTTTGAACTTATTTAAAGAGAGGGAAAATAAATATATGCAATTAAATATTTCAATTTATATATTTTTAATTTATAAATGTCATTATATATATCAAGTTAATTTCTGCGGCACCATCCCAACGAAGTATCCCGTAAGATAAAAATATATATTATAAAAATAAAAAAATCAGACTGCATAAATAGCTAACTAAAGAGATGAAAATAAGTTGACGAAGGAATATATTATTATGGAGTCGGAGACATGCCACGTTTCATCCTTGCCGAGAGATACATATTATTTTTGTAGCAACTTCTACATTCAGAAAAATCCTTTCTAATTTATCGGCTTTTATTATTAGGTTACTAGCGACTCGGCAACGCTCCGCTCTGGTTCGTCCCTAACTTACGTTAAAACGTTAAGTATAGATATCTCAGAGATAAGATATTTTCCCGCTAAAAGTATCCTACATGTTGACCCGGATATCCAGCTATCATCATACCAAATTTCATCAAAGTCCCTCAACCCTCTAGTGGTTTTTCAGTTGGTGCGGTCACAGACAGACAGACAGACAAAAATTCTAAAAACATTTAAAGATTCGGCCTCTGTATCAATAATAATGTCTATTTCAATAAGATTTTCCATGTATAGATTGTAACTAAGCCGAACCTGTACATTAAATATGTTTTGGAAAGTGAAATATTTACTGTTTTATAAAGATTACGAAATCTGGTCAGGTTTTTTAATTATAATTGAAATAAATCGAAAATCCTTAGTAAAAAATGACAAAAAAAAATAGCTTTTCTCTGTTACATGTAAACTAATATGTTATCTATAGGGGGTCCCTTGAGGCTGAAGACCCTGGCCTCGTGCCACGGGTGACCTTATGGTAAAGGCGAAACTGGGTAAGCGATGTTTCATCCCTTCATCGATGTAGCTAGGGCAAGAAAGCAAAACTGCCATCGCTATTACGTAAATGTCGCATTTTACAGGAAAAACACTTGTTGTTGTTTTTTTATATAGGTATCTGGGTTGACATCAACATATCTTGTCACTCCATGAGTAATCATTTAATTAACGAAATAATATATGGCCGGGGGCCGCGTCATCAACAGTAGACAACAACTTGATCGCCGATCGAAATGGGCAACTGGACCTGAATACGAATATATCACAATGACAGGGGCCATTTTTTTCACGGGCTAATCTGAACGCTACTAGTAAGCGTCTTACCGACCAGGGTGTCCGGGCCAAGATAAAATATACGACTCTGACACTGGAGTTTCGGCCAATGTATTTTTGTTAAAATTCGTCAGTATCTAATGTTCATCCGGAAACTTCCCGGACGTCAACATATTACTCCAGTCCAGTGTGTGTGAACGCTCAACGCACTCACCCGCTCGTAACATGAACGGTGGCGACTTTATGCATACTAGCTCTCATCGTGTCAACTGTGGGTGGTCCTCGCCGCACCAAAATTGAGGGTGCTCAAATAAGCCAGAGAACCTAGAAGTGGGGAAGGGAGATACCGTCGGCGAGTTTGAGGGGTAGGTATCTCTTGAGGCTTTTAGTGAATATTCCGATTCTAACCAACGAGTCCCTCATAACCAACTGCTTTACGCAAAAACATTTCCCAGAGATAAAAAAGCTAGAGATAAAAAGGCAAGTTTAAAATAATATACCTAAGTTTAAACTTGTAGTAAATACCTAACTTTAATTTCTTAAATTCTTTTAATGACGGTAAATTTGAATAAAATATTCTATTACTGACTCGATGTAGACTTATTTTTAATACGCCAGATATATTTAAATGTTTATCGATATAGGTATACCTATTTTTTGCTTAAACATTAAATTGAAAAAACATTTTATTCAACAAACTTTGGAATCATAGTCAATGAAACATTATCTAATTTGAGATACAGTAACATGTAATAAAATGTGGATTAAACCACGGAAAAGAAAAACAATCTTCCGTGGATAAAACCAAATAATACACTCTTGTAGTACACAGCAGCAGCTTAGAATTCTATTAGATTCTTCGATGAGCACGTTTTTGATGTAGCCCGGTATAAAAACTTATAATTTCGTCGTTTTATAATGGTTTTAAATATTTGAAAAATGAGATAATTAAGTCTGATTCGCACACCGAGGGTACCGTAGCTTGAAACAATAAATTTACGATATTTTTTAACATAGGTAAAGCTACGGAATAAATTTCTTATGTTAAAAGTAAAATAAAATATTTACCTATGTGCAACATCCATTTTCAACCGACTTCAAAAAGGACCTCCTGTTCTCAATTCGATTGTATTTTTTTTATGTTTGTTACCTCAGAACTCCGCCATTTATTAACCGATTTGGACAATTTTTGATTTATTTGAAAGGGTGTACTTTCAGATTGGTTCCATTTAAATTTCAAAAAAAAATACCACCCCTAAGGGTGGAAAAACAACTAATGATGAATTTAACCTACTTCTAATTGTCATATTGACTTGAAACTTTGCAAGTATTTCTATTTCCATTGATAGTACAGTGGTTCGGTATTGTTGACCTGATCTGATGGTAAGGCCAGAAGGTGGATAGGTGGAACTCTTCAACGGCTAATAGTAGATACTTTGAGTTTGGGCTTATTTTGTTTGATTTGACAAGCCTAACACGTTAGAATTCTTACTTTGCTACTACTGACTACACTAAAAAGGGAAAAATAAAAACTTTTTAACAAAAAAATAAAAACCGACTTCAAACAAAAGCACTAAAAAGTAAAAAATAACTGATTGGTAGTTTTCATTTACTATACATACCTAATCAAATATTTTCAATTTTGTTGGGTTTTAGTGGGTAGAACTGTAATGGTAATGAGCGTATCAGAGAACTCACACTTCAAAACATTCGACTTGGCAATTAAAACTAGCGGCGATATATGACGTCATTTTGACAGTTCGCAGCATGAGTAGACTCAACACTTAGGAGGATAAAGTTGTGAGCGCAGGGTTTAACTAAATAATTATCATAATGAACCTAATAAGATCTTAACTGTTTTAATATAATCTATAATATCTTAAGCTTTGGTCGGCTCGGGTTCGCCCCTCGTTACGTTTTAAAGTTTAGTAAAGATTTCTCAGAGATGAAATATTTTCTCACAGTTTATTGCGGACAGTTTTGATTGAATTGGACAGATTTTGATGAATTTTGTTATGATGATAGCTGGTTATCCGGGTTAACATTTTACTGCAGGAAAATATTTCATCTCTGAGAAATTTAAATAAACGTTAAAACATAACTAGGGAACCCGAGCGGAGCGAGGGAGAGTGGCTAGTATAAAGATGACCGAGCTGGTGGTTATTTTAATGGGCTATGGACTATATAAAGTAGAATATTTTTAATTCCAAGATACAAATTGTGCGCTGTACGCAGAAATGGTAGTACATTGTAGAATAATTATTATTTATAAATACTTATATATTTTAAAACCGTCCTAAACATATGTTGATAGTCATAGCGGTATGGCAACATTAATCTAATAAAAAAGTAAAAAGCAATGTTCAGCGGACGGACGTCGTTTCGACTTTTGTATTCCGTCATGCAATAATTTTTCATTCATGATTTCCTTGTTAATAAGTGTTTTAAATGGTGTCGCCGTCGTGAATATTAGTTAGATTTTAGATTAAAATGATATTTTAGTGTATGATTTCGTATAGTTCAAGTTAGAGTTCTTGATAGGTCTGTGACAAGTACGGTAATGGTGGCCATGTCATGAAAATCCCCACAGCCATGGATGATAGCTCCGTATCTCATCATAACGGAGGGCAAGTGGGATCTCAGATAGGAGTTAGTGTAAATAACAAACAAAATGAAGAATCTAGTCAAAGTGTCCAGTATTCAATACCGGGCGTTTTGCATTTTATTCAACATGAATGGGCGAGATTCGAACTCGAGAGATCACAATGGGAGGTGGACAGAGCAGAGTTTGAGGTAGTATTTTTAAATGTTTATTGATTAAAGTTAAACAGTTATTGTAGATTTGTTATTTTTCTTTTTGTGTATCTATTTATTTCGTAACACCCACGTAATCTTCAGTTTCTCCAGTTTTAACAATTCAGACTTCGTAATTTTGTTTGGATATCGTATTCTAAATAATTAATAATAAATTAACAGGTAATATGTTTTTTTCATGTGTTAATGATCAATAATATACGTTTATTATAAGTTGTTTGTTTTGGAACCTGGTTCTGAATGCTGTTATTTTCCTATTAGTGTTCTACAATTAGAACATTGATTATTAGCTTTTCCCTTTGTTATTTCTTTAAAATGTATCAATTATAAATTACATTTCGTATATGCAAAATATTATAGGACATTTCATCACTAAAGAGTGTTTGAGTGTAGTGGTTGATTACAAATTATCTCTTATACCAAGAATATTCAAATATCACCAGTCTATTTGTTAAATTCTGGTTTTAAATTAAAGTAATAATTTCAACTCAGTACAATTAATTTTTTTTGTCAGATTACTTCTATTTAAAAAAATGAAGAGATAAATTATTTTACACTGCAAATATGTGTAGTAAATTATGAAAATTCTCAAACATAGCAAGCTTTATTGTTAATTTTTCTTTCTGAATATTTTTAATTTATTTGACATTGACAAACATTTGTGTACAAGGTTTAATATAATATATTAATTATTCAATAAATTAAAGAATAAAAGAGGACATAAGTTCTAAACTATAAGTAACAGCTTGTTTAAACAAGTTCTTTTTTTTATTTTCCGTTGTAAATGTTATTAATTTATACTTATCTACACAATCAAATAATATGTTTTTGTTTTTCGCGTTTTGTATAATCTAGATGTTGATGTTAAGTATTAAGTATTAGGCTTTTCAATGAATCATTTCATGAAGCCTATGTAGGGATTAGTAACTTAAACTAATTTTTTCTAATTTATACTTGATAGGCAAAGATCGCCTTCCTCCAAGGAGAGAGGAAGGGTCAAGAGAATCTAAAAAATGATCTTGTGAGGCGAATCAAAATGCTTGAATATGCTTTAAAACAAGAAAGAGCAAAATTTCATAAGCTTAAATATGGTGTAGAACTACAGCAGGGTGATATGCGACCCCCACCAGAAGAACCCCCACAGGAACCAGAACCAGCTGAAAGGGCTCAATGGAAGCAAGGCCGCCAACTTATAAAACAATACCTGCAGGTATAAGAGTGTTCTGTTTTTGTGGCCATTCTCTATATTTTGATTTCTATAGTAAAGAAACATTGGTTTTTAAACCCTAAATAAATAGACAAATCTTCCATCAAATACAAAATTTGTGTTTACTGAAAGCAGTATATGTTATTTCTTTATTTAACACATAAGTGTAACTAAAGAAATATCGGTCTACTTTTTTAAACTCAGCTTTTTATTCTGGCACTTTTTATTTTTATTGGTGATGCTATTGGAATTTAATAATAAGTATTTTCTATTACAATATTATGTGGATATATAGTCATCTAATATGTTACTATTTTATGTTTTTAATCAGGAAATAGGATACACAGATACTATTCTCGATGTGCGTTCAAATAAAGTAAGAACTTTACTGGGATTAAACAATGAAGAACAAGGGGAAGAAACAAATTATAGAAACTGTGAAAAACAACAGCACTATTCAATGAATACTGCATTAAGTCGCAAGATGTATGATTACGGTATGCCATTCAGATTTTATAAAGAAAATAAACTTTAAACAAAATAATGTACATTAAATTAGTTTTATAATTTATATATGTTAACACAATTATTTAATTCATATTTGAGTAAGTCTCACCTTTCTTTAAACCATATGATATGCAGAGTTCACTATGTAAGGTTTAAGTATTAACATATTGAATATTTTTCTATTTGCATTAACAGTAATAAGGAGCAAATAAATAAACTTCATTTAACTCATTTGCCATGATGGTGGATGAAATTATTTCAAATATTCCCTAATATTATTCCAATTTTTCATGATATTTATTAAGTATTCAATTCTCACATATAAAAAAGTATATTATCAGCTAATTATTAGCTTGGTCTATGACTAAGCATACTGTATTATAATTCAACACACAAACATTTAACATGACCCCTAAAATGTATCGTTGTTTTATTTCGTCAACTAAAATAGAACATCTGTTTATACTGACACTTCAACATTTATTGTATGTATTACTAATAATTATATAATAATTAATTAATATGTATCCTTATTATATATTGTAATTAATAAAATAAAATGTCATGTTTTTGAGGCAATTACTTTTACAATAAGGTCCATTAAAATATGTAATATAATAATTGTTTATGTGCTATGCTTGATTAGACACAATTTTTGATTGCTGTTTTTGCAAATTTGATAATAGATGGCGCTATACGAAATTAAATAAAGTTATTGGTATGTTCTGACAAAAATATAAAAATACAGCTCATAATTTAAGTGTATTAACATAGCTTAGTCTTTGCGGTATTTAAATAGAGGCTGTTCAGAGACGAAAATTTACTAGGAAAATAACATTAGCGGGATGTTTAATATCACCTTCCACATTATTTAAATCTTTTAATAACCTACGTGAAGGACGAGAGCTACGTTTAGCCTTTTTTATTGATTCTGGCTTCCCTTAGTGAGAATATTAAAGGCGCTAAGTGAAACCTTTACCCTTTTAGCTAATAAATATATTCGTTAAAATTTTATATAACAATGTAGATACACGAAATATATGTCAATTTGAGAAAGTTTTTTTTTCATCTATTAAAAGTGTAGAGAATAATTAATCATTATTATTATAATACCCTAGCTATTTCGTTAAGATGCAATGCAAGCGACGCGACGTTTATGCAGCGCCATCTGTTATTAAGGATTTTATTATAATATCAAAGGAAATCGACTACACGACCATCTAAACAGATTTCAATCAAAACTTTTTTACTGTATAAAGTAAATCCATTAGATCGATTCTTTTTTTAAATTCCTTTTTTTTAATAGGTTATTACGTTTTAATTTATTTAACGCAATATTTTTCGAAGAGTTAGCTCTTTTCAGCATTTATATTTTGATAATAATTATAAAGATATTAATAATAATTATAAAGATATGTAATTCATCTATCTCATTTAACCCACTTAACAAATATAATGGAGTATAATTACCGATGGCATGACTCGCATGTAATCTATATGTACGAAATTATGTTTTATTCTAAATACAGATCAGATCTTATTCATTCCAAATTAAATTTATTTGAAAGTAATTCAACTTTACATACATTAAAATTTGAAAGTAGTTATGTAAAATTGCAATAAAATATAAGCAGTAAGTATAGATGTAGCATGCTTGATAGAACATGGGTAATGTGAGATGGGCTTATTGGCCGTTCTAGTACTAAGTGGCCTTAACGAGAGGTCATATCTCTAATTTGTTTTATTTTCTGTACATTTAATAAAACTTACTGGACTAAGGTTTTTTGAAAATTAGCTAGCTAGTAGCGCGAGTCACTAGATACCGCCTCAAAGTAACTAAAAGAAATATTTTTTAATTTTTGTTTATTGTACAGTATTTTTATTAAGAAACATTGCCAAGACTGATTTTTATTGTAAATGTTTAAGTTGCCTTTATTACGCGATTGGTAAACTAAATAAAAATATATGCAAAGGGAACTTACTAGCAGGTGTTTAGTGTTTTGATGTAATAATATAACATTGAACTGCTCATGGCAAAAATTGCTCTAGTACATATTATGTACGATTAACTTAAACATAATATTAATTTTGTTAATTAATGAATATTAAAAATTAAACATTAGAATTAACTAATGTATATGTATAAAATGAATATAGCCCTTAATTAGAATGTATTGCATATTATGTATTTATTAGCGACTTACCCTCGCTTCGCTCGGGTGTGTACGTTGGTGCCGGGATTTTCTTCACAATTTCTATGGTGTTAATTTTTTGGCGCGTAGTCAAATTTTTTTTCTAAAATAAACGTGGCCTATGTTACTCCCTATAACATAAGCTATCTGTTAGTGAAAGTTCCGTCAAAATCGGCCTAGCCGTTTTGGAGATTAGTCGAAACAAACAGACCGACAAAAAAATAGTTTTTTTTTTAACTATAACTACCGTATGTACTTCCATGTGTATGTAGTGAAAAGCTGTTATTTTGACAAATAGACATTATTAATTTATTTCACTTCAAAATATCCATTATTATATATTCCTAAGATGTTTTTGTAGCATGTACAGAAAAATTATTTACATTCTTAATTGATTTAGGAGGAAAAGATCAACGCAAAGGTGGTGTACCGCAGGGGAGCGGTTACAGCGATGACGGTCTCTCAGTTCAAGAGACAGCAGCCGTCTTCGCTAATTTCGAATTTCTGGGCAATCAAGAAGTGGATATGGATGAAATAGATGATTTAGATGCGAAGCAAATGCATCATACCACTGGCAAACAAGGTATGTATATAAACTCGTGCTTTATGTACTCGCGAGTGGCCAGGTGGTGCAATATATTATGTCTGACAACTTTTTGTCTAGTTAGTCTAAAGTTCTTCATTAGCACTTCGTAAACCAACAAACTATATCAGTCAATATAATAAAAAATAAATGTTGAATTGTTGTCAGAGCCAAACAAATATTAGTTTGTGGTAATAATATTATATATACATATATTAAATTCTGCCTATTTCTTTGCCGGCATATTATGTTTCCTTATAGTATTCTACTGCTGAATATTTTGTATGGAAGTGCACAGAAGTTTATACTCAAACTATATCTAAGATTCAATTTGAACATGGTTATATATTATATACCTGCAATTATGTCAAAATTCAGTACAGTCATTTTTATATATTTTTTAAATATGTATGTAAATTTTATGAAAATTTTAACCCTTAACGATTTTATACTAACTACGTATATAATATGTATATAACGTCTTCCAATAGGGCAATGGACAATAATTAATAGTTATTTATAATATATAATTAGACAGGCATACGTACAAATCCGGGCGGAAATCAAACGCGTAACATCCGTAATAGGTACTCTAACAACCACGCTAGTCGGCCCACATAAACGAAATCTTAAAAAAATATATTTTACTAGCAGTTCCCGCGGCTTTGCCCGCGTTCAAACTACTAAAAAACAAACTCTTTGACACAGCGACAGCAACGCCACCTAACGAGTCCAATTGTGTTTTCAAACCATCCAGGAGCCCATTGAAATATACACTCAAAATTTCATCCAAATCGGTCCAGGCCTTTAGGTGTAAACACACGTACAGAAGAATTATATACATATTTAAGATTAAAAAACATATTTTTTAAAAGGCGAGGAAGTCGACCACGAAGCTGAAGAGGTGTTAAACGAGCTGAATCTGTTAACCGCGAGTGAGGCTGACGGCGGTGGACAAGGGGACGAGTATCCTGTCGGCGGTGAGCTTTTAATGTTTTTTTTTATTTTATTTTAAATTTATCTATGGTATTAGTTTAGTGTATTAATCCATACAGTCTAAAGATGGCGTCTAGACAGGGAAGCGCGAGTGAGGCGCACCCGACTGTCATACTTATTTTTATATGACAGTTGGGACACGACTTTAAGGTTGACGGGTACTGTATCTTACAACTTCAATTTGTATACATTTGACAACCCTTGTTGTTGTGTATGGATAATATTTATATTGTATTAATTAATAAGTTGTAAATTATTTCGAAAATTTGGTAAATTAGATCCATCCATGTAATTATATGATGATATGAAATATTTCATATCTCCAATTTTAGTTTTTTTTTTAATATTGCTAATATATGTACATATTTATATATTCCTAATATGTACTTATACTATACAAGAGAATTAAGAAACAGTTTTGTTAATATACTTTCACTGTTTTATATCTTATTATTTAATTTAATTTATTATTAAATCATATTTATTCTAATTATATTCATTCCCATTCTCTTTGTTTTGTGCCAGTTTTTGTTTTATGTATGATGTTTATGTATTAGTTACTGTATGTATTTCTTTATATAAAATAAACTTTTAATCTATTAAGAATTAACAATATCTAAAGACATAGAAGTTTAGTAGGTGATGACTTTATTTGCATTCATATTAGTATAGTTTAGTTTTCAAACTCACAACTACTACTAACTTTGTATTCATATAAAGTATTGGCTACGAATGTCATTAAGATAGCAATTTTTATCATAGAAAATATTTAATTCCATTTAGTATTCATCTCCTTACTAAATGGGTTTCGTTTAATGGATTTTAATCTTTTATTTTATAAAGTAGTTTTTACCTGCAACTTTGTGCGTATTGTTTTTTTTATTCCAAAGTTCTTGGGCTAGTTTGAACTGAAATATACAGCAAAGTTTAACGATTATCCAATTGGAATCCACAACCTTGGGCTTATGCACACCACGTTTTATAAACGCTCTGAGGACGCACACAAAATGAACACCCGTTTTCTGCCAATATTAAAGACGCACGTGCAACATGCAACAACGCATGCAAGTGTGTATAGATAGGCTCTTAGAAAAATGTCTTATATATTACTAACAAGAAGTTGTTTATTTTTGTTTAAGTTTCATTTAAAAATGTTAACAAAGTTCAACATATATAATTGGACTGTTATTATAAATGCGAACGGTTGTATTTGTTTTTGTATGTGTGTGTATATTTCTTACTCCTTTATGCTGATATGGTTGGATGGATTGGGATGTAATAATATAGTACACAGAAAGATTGACCTGGTGTAACATATAGGCTACTGTTAGGCAAATAGGGACAATTATTAGAGTCCCGAGTCGGACTAAGTATTATAATATTGATTACTAGCGACTCACCCTCGCTTCGCCTGAGTTCGTCCCTAGGTTGATTCCCAATACAAACTTTCACCCCCATTTTCACCTCCTCAAGGGATGACTTCCGGGATAAAAATTATCCTATGTCCTTCCCAGGGTCTCAAACTATCTTTTTACCAAATTTCATTTAAATTGGTTTAGTAGATCCAGAGATTACCTCCTACAGCGTCACAAACTTTACCTCTTTTATAATATTAACATTAGTGATATTGGTCGTCCTGATTGAAATTTATCAAGAGGACATCATTATTATTACTATTACATTTTAAGTAAAGTTATGTTTTTGGATTATTTCGCGGATTTATTTTGATTTTGGTTCTCGACGTTTCGAATGCTTTACAGCAATCATGGTCACGGGAGAGACTAAGGTGTTAGATGTCTTAAAGGCATTATATAGTTGCTACAAACAGTCAGCCTACCCACAAATTAACAAAATACATTAAAAGAAAATTGAAAAATGGCACCAAAGTACCTTACAATATTTGTTAATGTAATTTTAAAACATTTTTATAATAAGAAAGTATTATTAGACTATTACATATTAATATAATGTATATTGTTGTTTCCAGTGAAGTTTCCAGGCGGTAGCGGCGCGGGCGGCGGTGAGGCTGACGAGAAGCCCCTCGCTCTGGGCGAGCTGGCGCAGCTTACGGTCAGCAACGAGTCAGAGGGGTACGACGTGGCGACCGCCAGCAAGGAGTCCTTCAGGAAGACATGGAACGCGAAGTACACACTGCGCTCGCACTTTGATGGAGTGAGTTGTGCTGTCATAATTAAAGTTCATTCATTTATTCAATCATACATGAGATAGATAGATTTGTTTTTGTCGCTAGCGAATAATATTTTTATACTTGACCGATTTTCAATTTGAAAAACTCATTAGGTGCGTGCCCTCGCGTTCCATCCAACCGAGGCGGCGTTGGTGACCGCCTCCGAGGACCACACGCTGAAGCTGTGGAACCTGCAGCGCACAGTGCCCGCCAAGAAGTCGGCGGGGCTGGACGTGGAGCCGCTGTACACGTTCCGCGCGCACACCGCGGCCGTGCTCTGCCTCGCGATGGGCGCGCCGCGCTCCGAGGAGTGCTTCTCCGCCGGACTCGACGCGACCATCCGCGTGTGGAACCTCCCCCCGCCCACCGCCGACCCCTATGACCCGTACGACCCCGCCGTGCAGGTTAGTAACTATAGTCTGTTTTTTTTTATCTCAGAGACTAAATTGACACATGTAAATGTAATATTTATAAATAATGCAGCGCCGCTCTTTTGTGCAGTGTTGTATCTGCGATACCGGTTGAATCGTAACTTTTTATCTTTATTAGATGGTTCGCTACAAACTTTTATATTACAAAGTGTATCAATAAAATACACATTATTAACCCTAAATCATTAAGTATCATATTTATTAATTTTAAATCATTAAGTATCATTAAAATCCACATTATTAAATTTAAATTCGTATTATTACGTTTTAAATAAGTATCTACACATTATTTCAGGATAACTTATTATAAAAAAACGAACTTATTATAAAAAAAACTATACTTGATTTTATTAACGTTAATTTTCGATAGTGGCACATCACTATTTAAGAATTGCAAAAAACTGGCAACTCACGTAATGTCAGTTTTGTCTCTGAGATTAAGAAACAGACTTGATTATTTTAACAATTTTTATTTTTCCGGTTTATATTATATTTTAAGTTATACAAAACAAACTCTACGCTCCCCGATGGGGGCGCGCCCCTCTGGTTGGGAACTCCTGGTCTAGAGTCTAAACGGTACCTAACATTGTATTTACCTTGAGTTTAAATTTTGTACAGTTCTTTACTTTATTAAAGAATTAAATTGTACAAAAAAAATGGTGAATAAAATTATGATATTGTTTTTAATCTTTTTATCCATTATGTAAACCAAAGCTTGGTAATGAAAGTGGCAACACCTGTTGTAGTAAATAGTGCAAACGTTATATACATATGTATATAGGAAAAGAGATGTACCTAAGTTAGTTTGATGAGATGTGTATGGTTTCGTGTTAAACCTGTACACAAAAAATATGCCTTTATAGGTACAATATGATTATTAAATATAATTATTATTCATTTTTATGACTATGGATATACCTTAACCTTCGTTAGACGACTGTATGATTATTAGTGTGGTTACATTGTACAAAATATGTGTTGTGTGTATCTGCGAGAGGTGGCGTAATTTTTGTCGGAAACCTACTGACTGCTTGATACATTCTACTAATTTTATTAAGCACTTTGTAAATGTTCGTTTGTACAAAGTACAAAAAATTATTTATTTTTCTTTTTCTGTAGTTACAATTAATATATATAAAGAGCCCTTTTACCGGCCAGTGGTTGTGTATAGGTACATATGTGTATATACCACTGATCGTGTATCGCGCAGGGTCCAGTGCTGCGCGAGCACACGGACGCGGTGTGGTCGCTGGCGAGCGCGGCGGGCCGCCTGCTGTCGGCGTCGGCGGACGGCACGGCGCGGCTGTGGGCGCCGCGCGCGCCGCGCCCGCTGCTGGCCACGCTGCGCGACGACGCCACGCCCGCCGCGCCCGCCGCCGCCGACTTCGCGGACGCCGCCTCGCGCGCCGCGGTCGTCTACCGGGATGGTACTCTGCTATTGTACGATTTGGAGACGGGACAGGTTCGTGTTATCATATTATGTCTTTTACCTATATAGTATAAAACGAAGTCGCTTCCCGCTGTCTGTCTGTCCGTCCCTATGTATGCTTAGATCTTTAAAACTAAGCAATGGATTTTGATGCGGGTTTTTTAATAGATAGAGTGATTCAAGAGCAAGGTTTATATCATATATATTGTATAATACATGCATATTATAGTACAGAAAAGCCAAGAAATTCACAGATTTGTATTTCATACTAACCGTTAAAACGTACCTAGGGACAACCCGAGCGAAGCGAAACTATTATACTTTTTGATTTGATACTTTTTGAAAAATTTTGTGTCTTTTTAACCGACTTCTGTATAAGAGGAGATGTTCGTCTGTATGTTTTTTTATCCTATACCCTGTAGTATAATTTATATCTAATTCTATATCTGTTTGATCTTAATTTTATTTAATATCATACATATTTAGGATGTCAAAAAAAGAAAAACAATATATTAATTCAGACTTTTTCCTCCATGTCAATGTAGGACCTATTAGAATTTTAGTATTTTAAGTGCAATGGCTTGCTTAGGTAACGCACATAATAGATAGCATAATGTTTGTCTTCGTCGGGGTTAGTTAACGTCTCATGAAAATGTATCGAATTATTTGCATTTTATTAGACGCTAAATTATAATAGGTACGAGAATGTTTCCACTGTGACACTGAGTGGTGTGTGTTTGTCCGTTGCATGCGCAGAGCGTGCTGCGCGTGTCGTGCGACAGCGCGGCGGCGCGCGTGCGGTCGCACCCCACGCTGCCGCTGCTGGTGACCGCGCACGAGGACCGGCACATCCGCTTCTGGGACGCCGTGTCGGGCCGCTGCGCGCACGCCATGGTGGCCCACCTGGACGCCGTCACCGGTCTCGCCCTCGACCCCAACGGCCTCTTCCTCCTCTCCGGCTCCCACGACTGCTCCGTGCGCCTCTGGAACCTCGACACCAAGACCTGCGTCCAGGAGATCACCGCGCACCGCAAGAAGTTCGACGAGAGCATCCTCGACGTAGCCTTCCACCCGCTCCGGCCGTACATCGCCAGCGCCGGCGCGGACGGACTCGCCAAAGTCTTCGTCTGAACCGTTTTAACGTATTTAAATATTGTATTAACGCGCGATGACGCTCGTTATGAGCGCGTAGTGAACTCATCTATGTATAGACATTCGAAATCTATTATAATATATTTTTAGATTTTCAGTATGTGAATTTTAGGTTTTTAACGCAACTTTTTCACCGATTTTACGAACGCAGTGTAATATCGCAATTCGATGCTACTAAGATCTCGTTTGCAACGTGAGGGAGGCGGCTCTGCGCGTCTGTACAGTTCGGTGTATGGAGTTTCGCTGTATCGGGGCGAGTGGAGTGTAGCTGGTACGTTTTATTTAATTCGATTGGATCTATATAGATAGTCTTGTTTCGTCACTTGTATTGAATAAACATGCTCTCACGATATCTTAATATGCGAATGAGCGAGCGAACAAAAATATGAATGAGTAGTACTATATCGGAAGTAACATAAGTAATGTTTGTTCATAAAGAATACTGCGATGTAGAATATATATTATAAAAACATTACATATTCCTTTATTTCCCTCGAATTCATACTTGTACACATACATCCAAATTGATAGTAAAAAGCAACATAACCGAAGTTGACGTCTTTTTTATTTTTTTACTCATAATCCTGTACTTCTCCCTGTTTTTAATAAATAATTTGTTTATATTATTATTTATTGGATTCATTTTAAACAAATAGAAGGTTAGTTATAATTCAAGTACACTTTTTTATTATAAATACCTAATTAGAGTATTACTAAACTCTTAAGAAGTGGTCTACAATATGTTATAAAATGAATATTGTTTTATTATCATGGTAAGTCTGAATACATAAAAACATTTAATTACACGAAACACTTTTCCTGTCACTGAAGTAATATTTTAGTTGTATATTGTTTCATATTACACTATTCTTGCGTCTCAGCAACTATTAAACTGATAATTAAACTTTCATTACTAAAGATCTTCTGGGAGTGGTATATTAACGATAATCTATAACGAAATTTATGAAACAATGGATTTACTAAATTGATTTTAATTAAATTTTAGCTATCTTTTCTTGTTGCATAGTTAGTTTTTGTAAAAAATCATATAACTGCCGTTATCCATTTTTACACACTATACTGTTTATGGTGTAGGACCACTTGCATGAAATTTTTTAATATTATTGAAAGAACCTGGAGACGTAGCTTCGCGTTGTTTCAGAAGATGCGTTTTTTCTGAAAAACCTATATAGATAAACTTAATAAAGAAAACTTTATTTAAATACAAAATTTGATTCAAATTTTTAGAGCTGTTCCGAAATACACGAAATTAATTACATTTACAAGATTTGCTCATAATATTATAAGATATATAGTTTTAAAAAAAAGTACAATTTTGATGAAAAAAGAGAATGGACACATTTAAGTGCGGCCAACTCATCTACAATCCGTAAGTACTACGTACCTAAGTTTTTTTTTTTAAATTGTAAATTTAGTACAACTTGTTTTTGGTGAAGTTCCTAACTTTTATAGCTTCAACCTTCCGATAATGTCCTAAAGAATGATCAATTATACCAGAAAGATACCACATGAATTCATGATCCATTCATTTGTCTGTAATAAAAGTAAAGATATGGAAAACCTTGAATTTAATATTAAAAGTAAGCAATTATTTCCTCTTGACCGATTTCGGCCACAGCGGCCAATCTCACTGAGACTAGCCATCTGGTCATAAGATAATATTATAGTGCAGCCCGTGTACGCGCACCCTCTATTCCATTCACTCTCAAATTTCGGTAGGAATGTTAGAGAATGGTTAGAGATCAGACGCAGTACCGACGATTTTACATGCTCTCCGAGACAGGGCGTGAAGCCCCTCCGGGCTGTTATTGGGGCTTTCTTTACAGAAAGACTATGATTAAACTTGGCCTGCCTGGGAATCGAACCCAGTATTAAAATCCACACAGTGGGCTATCACCATTGATGTTATATAAAATTTCAAGTTTCACAATAAGCCTCAAAATTATCCTAAAAAAATAGCGCACAATTTACAAATAGTCTCGAATTACATGAGGCATGAGCTACACCTTACACAGCCGACATCCGAAATGTAATGTACTCGTTTCAAAAAAGTTAAATAATACATTCAGAACCTAAAAAAGGATGAAATAATTTATTTTCGATAAGTAAAAATGTTTTTTGAGACGGAACACTAAGGGCAGGTACTCTAACTGCTATAGTTACAGGAAAACGTTCCTAGGAGACCACCCTTAACTTTTTGAGATATTCTGAACTGCATTCACAGATTTTGGAAAAAAATGTACTGTTAGCGAAAAAAATGCTAAAATACCAAAAAAAATTTTTTTTGTCAATCGGTCCTATTTCATGTAGGGATTAAAAGACTGGGACCATTTAAGGTATGAGTACTAGAAATGAAAGAAATCACCAAAAACTTTTCCATACATTTTGTACGAAAAAACTATTAGTCAACTCGAAAATATATTCTTTGTTGCTAAACGGTCCGCGCGCTTGGTGTGACGTCACAGAATGATAGACAAAAAATGACGATTCAATTAATTGTAGCGACAAAATCGCTAATCGCTCTGATATGATATACTGACATGACGTAATATGACATTCGGTCTGACCAATGGCGTTGCGTTTCAATTACTTTGATTTTCCCACCTGTTTTTTCACTTTTTAATAATTATTTTCTTACTCAAAAAGAAATTACATTATAAATATTAATATAGGCTTAATTCAAAAGCAATATAGATTATAAAAATCATATTTCACCTTTATTTAAATCACACGCATATTCTATTAACCCTAGCATAGCATTGTGTTCATATTATAATAAGCATTTATAAAATAAATAAAACGAACAGAAATAAATAGTTGACTTAGGTAAAAACAAGTTTTTACTAGCAGAACCTTTTTAAATCGGATTAGTAGATCTTGAGATTAGCGCGTTCAAACAAACTCTTTACCTTTATAATATTAGTATAGATGAACCTAGCCGTAAAGTTTAATTGATTTTTCTAGAAAAGAAATAATTAAGTACATAGAAAATAATCTTTTAGTTTATGAAAATTTTCTTCGTTTGAACCAACGAACCAAAAAATTGACATTATAGCAGCTTTTTCGAAAGCTTAAAAGTTTTAAATAATAAGAACGTTAACATTTCATCATTACCATAATTTCCATGAAGATAGAATTAAAGAAGATTCATAATAGGTATCTACTCTAGAAATTATTTACAAAAGTAATGAGTAATAGGTAGCACCACAATATATTTGTATTGTTAAAAGGCGTAGAGTTTGACAGGATTTCCATTGTAATTTAAGCCTTTTAAAGATAGGACTAGAAGAAATACTATAGTGTACCTTTGTTTGGCAATCCTCTTCACTATGGAACCTTATTTAATTCATTTCTCTTGTATATTCTTGTTGTCCCTGGTCTATGTTCTTAATGGCTTTAAAAAACCTGATAGTTGGGCACAGATTACTTTGCCAATGTCACGTAGAATGAAAAAAAAAATAACGAGGGAGATTGGTCGGTAAAATAAGATTATTATTCTAAATTAAATTATACGGAACCTTATTAACGAAGAATTTACGTTTGAAAGCTATTCACATTTTACAAGCCATCGTAATAGGCATCGCTATTTGTGTTGTTTGTTTGATTTTAAATCAGTAAACATTGAGTTCATCACTTTCGTGGTAGGTATGTATAATCATTCTGCTAATAGGCGGCTAAAGACAGGTGACTACAACTGTAACTTACTTCAGCAATTATACAATGTTAGGAATGTAAGTAGATTTTATTTAAATTAATAAAGATGTTTAAAAATTCACGTAACTTTTGAATTCACCGTCATTAGCGCGGTAAGTGTAGGCCACCAAAAAAAAAAAAATAGTTTGATAGTTGAAAGTATAGGCAAAAGAACAACGCATTTTCATTGTTGACCGGTTTTTTTAAAAATAATGAAAGTTTGGCGGCTACAGTTTTTTACATAATATGATAGGTAGGAATATTGATTTTACTTCGTTAATTGTAGATAACAGAGTAATTGAATGAGACATTTTCTGGTTGTGCACTCTCTCGTTTCGATGATCAAGATTGGCTCCCTAGATCATGTCATTTAACACAATTGGATTTCTATCTATCGAGTTATTTGAAATCAAAGTATTTGTTAACAAATTCACATACACCCATGCATTGAAGGAGGAGATTCAGCACCGCATCAACGAAATTCGGCTTTTATGCCAAATGACGGAATCATTGTCGAAATCATGGAAAATCTCGACAAAAGTATGTGTACCTATGCCTCGGCAATGCCGAGGAGGCCATTTCCCGGTTGTGTTATTCCATACAAAATTCTAGTCAATCTATTTTATTTTCAAGGTAAAAAAAATCTGAAAAATAAAGTGTAATTTCTATTTAATTCAAATCTTGCGTGAGATTTTGGGACACTATATATCGATTATTTTATAGAGACTATAATAATTGTAGGTAATGTGTGTTATATGTAGGCTTTCAGGTATGGGGTTGTTTGTATATTTTCTGATTTGGCTGACGCAGAAGCTCGCACAGCTGCCGAGCCCGCCGCCACCGGACTTCGAGCCGACTCCCCCACATGATCGTCATATACCACCTAAGCATATGGGATTGCAGTAACTAAAGAATTAAAAATATATCAATTAAGCATATTATAGATGTTGACTAAGGGATCCTTTGTATCAAAATTCTTATTTTAATTTTAATATCAATTCAATTTATTTTTTGTTTTATGTAACAGCTATTGTTATGTTTAGGATACCCCTGTAGGTATTTAGATTTTTTATATAGATACTGTATCTTAGTAAAATTCAGTAAGTGTATCCTATATTTCACTACTATACCTACCAGAGGCGGATTATGAATTTTGCAGCTGGCCTATCACTTCTTGGGTCATCACTATCATTTTGTCTTTATAAAATCTATAATAAAAGATAGTATCTAGATAGATCTGGATGAAATTAAGACAACGATATTGTTTGGTTCTTAATTATAGATCTTAGGGTCTTAATTTTTATTATTTTATTTTTTTATTTTATAATTCACAACATTATTCATTGTTCTCAATAGGTGGCCCGTTATATCTTAGGGGCCCTGGGCTAAAGCCCAAAAAGTCTATATATAGATCCGCCCCTGATACCTACTACGAAATAAAACTAAATACATATATATTTTTTATGTACTACGTAATTGACATTTGTTTAGGTATAAATATAATAAATATTACAAATAAAGATTTTCACACATTTCACAATAGCATTCTCGTATTGCTTCACCAAGGTGATAAAGTGATTCATCCTTTTTGAAGCTGTGTTTTGTGCGATCTTCGCTTGATTTATTATAATCACACTAGAAAAAAAGTCAATTAGTTAAAATAGTGTAACCATATATATATTACTGATATTAGTTCTCAGATTAAAGAATTATATTCAATTCTTATATTCAATGGCTTCTAGGAGTGCCGTTTGGGCACCATTTACTTCGCCAATGTCGCGTAGAATGGAGGAGACACGTTAAAGAATTATAAAGAGCCCGCAAAAAAAATATGAAAGTCAAAAATAATAGCATAATTTTGCTGTTTAGCCTCCTATTCTTTATTTCGTCATATATATCGTTTACTTTATTTAAAGAATAAGGGAATTTTATATAGGTATTAGTTGTTAATTTAAAATCTTATCTGTTTTTTTATTTACATATTTATTACTCATATTTTCTCGTGATGCGGTAACAGACAGACAGACAGACAGACAAAAAGTCTAAAAACTATAGATTCGGACTCTGTAATCATCGCGGAAAAACCACCGGAGGGATTTTTATGAAATTTGGTATGGTGATAGCTGGTTATCCGGGTCAATATATAGGATACTTTTTATCGCGGGAAAATATATCATTTCTGAGAAAAAATATAAAAACTGCAATGTAAGAGTATACTAATATGTAAAACCTAAGAATTTAGTTTTTGGCTATCTAAACGCGGCGGAGCCGCGGGCAATGCAATATGTATGTACATATTTAAAGTTTATAAATGTGTAGTGTATCAAATATCCGGTATCCATAACACAAGCCTCGTGGCTTACCATGGAACTAGATGGTGCTGTGTGTTAATGTCGACATACATACACGTAGGAAGACTGCAGCAAAATGCATTATTATTTAATCTGGAATTCGGTGCTTTAGTTGTTCGCGTAGTTGCGTGTAGTATAAATAAATGATAATTTGATTATATCTAAATATTTCGGTACGATGTATTCGATGGTTCCAATTACCGCCCCTATTTTGTGCCGCCGAAGATAGCTGCCTCTTCGCATTATAGCACCGCACGGCCCTGCATTTTTTTCCACGTAAAGGAAGCAATTAGTTAATTACAAATCATAGCCGCCATTTCCTTGCAATATTGTCTTCTTTCCCTTGGCTTGACTAAACTGGCTAGCAAGGTCCAAGCGCGACCTATACGGCGATCGTATCTAAGGGCTTTGAATGAACATGAAATAGCACTGGCTCTAGCAGTTTTCTGTTCCTCTGTGGCTTCTGCATCACCTCCTTCGCCCATCAAGCTCCGCTGTTTATTAAAAATATATGTAGGTATGCTTATTATTATTACTAAAGTTAATAGGAATAGACTATAATTAGAATAACAGGTAATATCATAAGAGTCTCTCGCATACATGTTTTAATTTGTCTAATTTTGTGTTTAAAGTTTGGAGACAACCAAAAAATCTGTTTTCCTAGCATAAATCAAAAAAATATATGAAATAATAATAATAAAGGAATAAAATTAGAAAATTATTTTCGCGTAGAAATTAAAGGGGTAATGACATTTAATTAAAGTATATATTTGACGTTTTTAGGCGTAGCTCAGTATTGCAGTATCGCCAATTTTACATTGAATAGAAACAAGTCAGTAGCAGTTTAGTCGGTATTCGAGATTATACCCTTTTCTAGTGGTATAATATTAGGTATAATACTCTATATGATTGTTCATGGGTGTGGATTACATTAATAAGGATAAATTGAAATATTTGAATTTATCCTTTATTATAGTGCTCGCTTAAAAAGCTTTGGGGGAATGTTAGTAGGACTTTGTAAACCTCGATTGAAACATAGCCATATTTTATAGAAGCGACTGGAAACAATAATTAAATGGCTTTAATACAATTAAAAATACATCTTGACATCGTCGCATGTCGTTGTACATTTTTATATATAAAGCCAAATTTAGGGATTGTGGACTAAAATAAAAAAGCTGATAGTACAAGATATAAAGTATTTTTAGCTTATCTGCAAAAGTTTCTAGTTCTAAGACCTTTGAAACCTATATATTAAAAATTTACCATCATCCAATAATCTGCAAAAGTCATCCAAGCATAAGCACTGGGATATCGCCGAACAACATCTGATATTATTGATTGAGTACGTTGATAGTCTTTACGAGGTAGTGATAACAGGGCACTGAAGAATAATTAATATATGTGCATATTATGTTAAAATAAGATGTGCATGTTTTAATAAGATAAAATTACGCGGATAATGTTAATACATCTGTAGAAAAAAAAGAGGTAAATGTCTCTTAGGACGTGTCAAGTATAGTTATTGGAATATCCCGTTAAGACATGTTCAGTAACAGCCCGGTGTTGGGAAGTTTCTTTTACCCCCATGGATGGAGAGAATGTAAAATATTCAGTATTGCGCTTCTCACAAGTCTTCTTGAATTGTCGTCCCATCGGTGTTTGACAATGAAATGATCAAAATAAAGGAAGAGGTCTTCATTGGTCAAGGAGGTATTACTATTATTATTGAAAAAAAAATGTAATAAGTAGAAAAAAGTCTTAAAGCTACCGTATAAATACATCATCCATTTTATGAAATAGGTTAAATTACCCGCAGCTCCGGTTTACTGAAGTAATAATGCTCGACTCCTAAACATTCATTGCTATGCAGACGATAGCACTGTGGATGCCCTGTACACTGGCCGCGCCAATATTTCTCGGGAATTCGTCGACGAGAGCCGGAACAAACTTGTGTCTACAGTCGAATCTTTGTTAACCAAAGTTTCGGATTGGGGTCGACTAAACCTAGTCCAATTTAACCCCAAAAAGACACAAGTTTGCGCGTTAACCGCTAAAAAGTCGCCATTTATCGTAGCTCCTCAATTTGAGGACACTCCTCTGTCTCCCACAGCCAGTATCGGAATACTTGGCGTCGACATCTCGAGCAACGTCCAGTTCCGTGGTCAATTGGAAGGTAAGGCCAAACTGGCCTCAAAGAAGCTTGGTGTGCTCAGCAAGGCGAGACAGTACTGCACGTCGCGTCAGCGTCTTATACTTTATAAGGTGCAACTTCGGCCCCACATGGAGTACTGTTCTCATCTTTGGGCGGAAGCTCCCCCGTACCAGCTACTTCCATTTGACCGCATTCAACGTAGGGCGGCTCGAGTTATCGACGATCAAGCTCTCTCCGATCGGCTTGATCCTTCAGCTCTGCGTAGAGATGTTGGATCACTCTGCATCTTCTACCGCATTTATCACGGGGAGTGTTCCGAGGAACTGTTCGGACTGATCCCGGCTGCTGAATTTCATCATCGGACATCGCGCCAAAATAGTAAATTCCATCCACACCACCTCGATGTCCAGCGTTCCACAACAGTGCGATTTTTAAGGCATTTTCTGCCTCGCACAACCACTCTGTGGAAGCAGCTATCGCCGGCGGTCTTTCCGAACCGCTACGACCTGGCCACCTTCAAGAAGAGAGCTTATACTTTCCTTAAAGGCCGGCAACGCATCTGCAAGCCCTGCGGTGTCGCAGATGTCCATGGGCGGCGGTGATCACTTTCCATCAGGTGAGCCTCCTGCTCGTTTGCCCCCTTAGTCCCATAAAAAAAACGCCAAACCGTGATGTTAGATGGCCTATAACTTTTTATAAGCTATAAACGGGCTTCATATCTATGACAATAATTGTAATAATACATACATGTATGAACCGCAATTTTTAGCTTTCTTCAAAGATGCTGTGGAAGCCGACAAATCTTTCAGTTTATGATAACATTCGCCTTGTAAACTTCTTAAATAGCTGATCTAGGAAAATGATAAAAAAATTCTATTTCTCAATATTTTCAACATTAGAAAATCTTATTCAAGTCAGTTCATTCGTGAAGTAGCATACTTCGCCGAATTTTTCGATTCCTTGATGAAGATGGCACAAGGCATCCTCGATTTGTCCACGGAGTCGACAGCAAAGAGCGACCAGATGGTAATATACAGGACACTCGCCAGTCTCAGTAAATGCTCGAGCTACGCACACTTCTGCTAACTAAAAAATCCACAAAATTAATATAAATTAATTGTCAACAAATTTATGGCATTAAATTTTCAATTTTGTCTGTCACATCTATACTAATATTATAAAGAGGTAGAGTTTGTGAGTTTGTGACGTTGTAATCTCTGGTTTTACTGAACCGATTTAGATGATATTTGGTAAGAAGATAGTTTGAGACCCGGGGAAGGACATAAAATACTTTTTATCTCAGAATTAAGGGGGTGAAAATGCGGATGAAAGCTGTATTGGGAAGCAAGCTAGTCATAATATAAAGAGGTGTACTTTTGAAACTATACACGATTAATGTACTTGACGATTTTCATTACTTAACTGCTCTGCTCTTTTCGTTCAGATCTCGGTTCTATAGAAATGATGAGATAGTGAGTAATTATACCACAGCGTCTTTTGTTATAATCATACTGGTACAAAAATTGTAAAAACTGAATTAAACACGTGATTTTTGTAAAAAGCAATAAGAGCTAGTTTCAATCAGCATACATCATTTTATGCCTTGAAACAATTGTCTGCTGCTGTTTAAAGTCTATAGTATACGCATATTTTATTTTATTATGTTTATTATATGTATTGAATAGTTGAACTTGAATAGTTTCGTATATTATAATAAATTTTAGCATTTAAATTTTATTTTTATTTTCTCTGCAGTAAATTAAGCGTATAAACTGTGCACCAGAGCGAAAATGTAAAGGGTGGCACAGGTCATAGCGTAATTATAGAATAGGATACTTGAAAATAGTATTGATCGCGTTTATATGAAAACGAAATATAAAAAAAATGAATATAATAACAATTTTGTTATGTGGTAAATTTTGATTAATTTTCTTCTGAAAATACCATCCTATCACTTTTAGGAAGAAAACACCATCAGAACCACCACCCCCAACACCAACTAAAATAATATTAGGTATGCTTGACGACACGTTTGGCTCAGTTTGTAGTGATCCTGCTGTGCTATCGGTCGCAGGTTCGAGTCCCGCTGGGGGCATTCATTTGTGTGATGAGCACGAATGTATGTACTCCAGTCATGGGTGTTTATATTTATAATATGTATGTATTAAAAGTTATGTATGTGTAGTGTATCAACTATCTGGTATCGATAAAACAATCCTCGTAGCTTATCATCGAACTAGATGGTGCTGTGTGTTAATGTCCCAACATATTTATTTATTTATTATGTTATTCAACTAACAGAAATAGCTCGTATTCTAAGCAGTAAGTCAGCTGCGTCGTAGTACAGGTTGGTGCCTGGCAGTAGAGGGGTGTTGTCCCACCAGTCCCCGAGCTCCCTATCCCACACGCGCGGGTAACGTATGTCATCAGACATACCTTGAGCTTTGGTTCTGTATATAAATTGAACTTAAATATGAGGCATTTACGTATTTTTAATTTATCACATTTATCTACATATCATTTTTTTTAAATTAATTCTCTTAAACAATTTTATATTGATTAATTATTTTATACAAAAATCTATAACAATTTCTATAATAAATTTATAACAATAATTCACCAATATATTAACTTCAACATCTTTTCGGTTTTTATCGCGAATTTTGATTTTTCGTTTCCTACGTTTCGAATGTTTTAAAATAATCATATCTCCCGTGACCATAGGCTCTAAAGCATTCGAAACTTCGGGAACTTTTGAATTTTGCATAATAAACATGCTGCGTTTTTGAAGCAGGCAAATTAATACTTATAAAAACAGCTCCACTCACTTCCTTACTTGTTCGATAATGGCTTGGGCCATGTGAAACAGTTCTCTCTGCAAGTAGTAAGCGCTAACACATACACACATTGGGACCCAAAAAGGATAGAGTGCTAGTAAAGCTACAAAAAACGGTTCTGCTGCATCGGGGTCTTCTTCAAAAACCATACAACTCTTTGATAAAAGACTGTAATTGAGAAAAACTATGCTTTTACTTCATAGCACATAATGGAATATAAAGGACACATACAATAAGGTTAGTTATAAATAAGTTATTTTAACCTTAATGGATGTCTTGTATGAAGCATTATAGATTTATTTATACAAGCATTCGCCCACTCTTTGTCCAAATCTTTAAGGCATGTCGCCAGTTCTCTCCAGCTGTCACCTTCTCGAGGTCCTTCGACTATTAGCTGAAATATAAGACAGTATTTATTAGAGTGGCTCATAAATAAAAAAAAACATGCTTATAAACTTGAACATGTAAAATATAAAACGAAAAAAAAACCATATGATAAAATCTAGAAAACGGACAAATGTTTTAAACTCGTAGAAGCCTTTGCAAAATCATACTTATAACAAATGAAGATTCCATATAAGCTCACATTAGTGTCCGAAAACTGACAAAAAACTAAGTTGTCACTTTGTTCTTTCTATCCACTTTACAAAAATATATTTACGTAGACATGTTACGTAAAGCTTTGAAATATATATATATATATATATATATATATATATATATATATATATATATATATATATATATATATATATATATATATAATATATATATATATTTGCATTATAGTAGTAATATTATTAATATACAATATAATAATCATACTTGCAGATACAGCTGTACAGCATGAGGTAAGTCCTGCAGCTGTCGTGCGTGTCTCGCAGCTCGCAGCGTAGAGTTTGCTTGTTCGCTATCGACGTTTGTCAACAACGTATCGGTCGTGATCCGCATGAGACAGGCGTGTGCTATCATTGTCATCTCCTATAGTAGAATAGCAGAAATAGATCTTTAGAAAGAAATATGTTATTATATATAGGTAAGTTTTCAATTGATACATTATATGCAAATATTTTTTATTATTTGTATTAAATGAAAATAGTATCATGGTAAAAGTATTCTTTCTGTTTTTATACATACTTTCAACTATTATTCGATGAATGAATCAAATTTCGAATGAATCATAAAAGATAACTAAATCATTTTACTAAATCAATTAAATATATACCGATAGTTTAAAGAACTAACTTCAAATGTGTCATCGGAGTATAAAAAATCATTCACAACGAAATTATTGTTCACATAAATAGCAGCTTCTTGCCAGAAAGATGTCATCAGCTCCACACGTACTCTCGATCCACTCATTTGTCTATTTAAAGAGCAAAGATCCGGCAAACCTTGAATTTAATGATAAAAGTAAGTAACTCATTCCTGGCAGATTTCGGCCACTATGGCCAATTTCACTGAGACTAGCCAACGTCTGATGAGGTGCAGAGGATATTATATTGCAGCGCGTGTACGCGCAGGCACAAGTATACTCTCTATTCCTTTACTCTCATACTCCGGTGGGACGACAATAGGGAAAATGCGTCTTTTTTTTAAATCCAACTCCAAAAAACTAAAACTTAGATAAAAAAAATTAAAATATACCTTACGGACGTCACAGAATGATATACACAGAAAAATTACGAATCAATTTGTAGCGATAAAATCGCTAATCGGTCTGACCAATGAGTTGCGTTTAAACTACTTTCAATTTCCCCCCTGTTTTCGCACTATTTAATAATTATTTTCTTAATACTTTCTTAGATTTACGCGAATGTTTGACATTATTAAATAAAACTATCTTTTCGGATTATTTCGCGGATTTATTTTGATTTTTGGTTCCCGACGTTTCGAATGCTTTACAGCATCCATGGTCACGGGAGAGACTGAGGTGTTACATGTCTTAAAGATATAGTTGTTACAGACAGCCTACCCACAATCAACAAAATGAAAATTGCACCAATTACATTACAATATTTTAACTTTAAACATTTTTATAATTTTAATTATAATTGAATATGGAAAATTATTTATTTAATTTTTGCTATTATTTTTATAATTATTACAATTTTAAAAATATTAATTAGTAATCTATATTTAGTGTTGCCATTATTATATTTATAACCATAAAGAAAAATATAAAATATAGTATTAATTATTTAAGCCATATAATTGTTCAATGTGTAATTTAAAAAGTTAAAATTAATTAAGGATTATAATTTTAATTTAGTTTGCTATTATTTAAAAACAACTTACTAAGCAACACTATTAATATATACTTTTACAAATGAAAAATGAAAAATATCAATCTGATAAGCTTTCATTTTGATTTACACAGTATGAACTTATTACATCTGCCTGTCTGTTATGTTTATATTTATTATTTGATTTTATTATATTAATAACAGGATCCCATGACGATGGTAGTACCCAGCCATCTTCCCTATTGAAATTTGGATGTTTTTTAATTTCTATGGCTTCTCGAATCATTCTAGGGCGATATCGGTTTTCTTTCGCCAAGATTTGAGGTCTATCGAAACGAATATAATGGCTTGGGCGGTCCTGGCTATGTTTGCAGACAGCAGATGTTGTATTGCGACGGTGCTTCACATCAGCTATGTGTTCTTTGACCCGGGTTCTAATGGATCGCTTTGTTTGTCCAATGTAAGAGAGCCCACAATCACAATCAAGCTTGTAAACTCCTGCATCTTGTAGAGGGATGTGGCACTTGACAGGTGGTAAGAACTGACTAATTTTCTTTGGCGGCTTGAAGTAAGTTTTAATTGAAGCTCGCTTTAGAATGTAGCCAATCTTGTCAGTGACTCCTTTCATGTATGGCAAGACTGCAGGGACGCGCTCGACTGTGGCTGGTTTTACTCGATCACTGTGACGCAGGCGCGGCACTTGCAGCTTGTTGTCACGCAGAACTTGCTTGACATGTTGCAGTTCTCCGGCCAGGTGTTGCTCGTCACAGATCCCGCGCGCTCTACCGTGCCGTGGGAAATCTTTGTTTCAGAGAGCGCGCGGGATCTGTGACGAGCAACACCTGGCCGGAGAACTGCAACATGTCAAGCAAGTTCTGCGTGACAACAAGCTGCAAGTGCCGCGCCTGCGTCACAGTGACCGAGTAAAACCAGCCACAGTCGAGCGCGTCCCTGCAGTCTTGCCATACATGAAAGGAGTCACTGACAAGATTGGCTACATTCTAAAGCGAGCTTCAATTAAAACTTACTTCAAGCCGCCAAAGAAAATTAGTCAGTTCTTACCACCTGTCAAGTGCCACATCCCTCTACAAGATGCAGGAGTTTACAAGCTTGATTGTGATTGTGGGCTCTCTTACATTGGACAAACAAAGCGATCCATTAGAACCCGGGTCAAAGAACACATAGCTGATGTGAAGCACCGTCGCAATACAACATCTGCTGTCTGCAAACATAGCCAGGACCGCCCAAGCCATTATATTCGTTTCGATAGACCTCAAATCTTGGCGAAAGAAAACCGATATCGCCCTAGAATGATTCGAGAAGCCATAGAAATTAAAAAACATCCAAATTTCAATAGGGAAGATGGCTGGGTACTACCATCGTCATGGGATCCTGTTATTAATATAATAAAATCAAATAATAAATATAAACATAACAGACAGGCAGATGTAATAAGTTCATACTGTGTAGATCAAAATGACAGCTTATCAGATTGATATTTTTCATTTTTCATTTGTAAAAGTATATATTAATAGTGTTGCTTAGTAAGTTGTTTTTAAATAATAGCAAACTAAATTAAAATTATAATCCTTAATTAATTTTAACTTTTTAAATTACACATTGAACAATTATATGGCTTAAATAATTAATACTATATTTTATATTTTTCTTTATGGTTATAAATATAATAATGGCAACACTAAATATAGATTACTAATTAATATTTTTAAAATTGTAATAATTATAAAAATAATAGCAAAAATTAAATAAATAATTTTCCATATTCAATTATAATTAAAATTATAAAAATGTTTAAAGTTAAAATATTGTAATGTAATTGGTGCAATTTTCATTTTGTTGATTGTGGGTAGGCTGTCTGTAACAACTATATCTTTAAGACATGTAACACCTCAGTCTCTCCCGTGACCATGGATGCTGTAAAGCATTCGAAACGTCGGGAACCAAAAATCAAAATAAATCCGCGAAATAATCCGAAAAGATAGTTTTATTTAATAATTATTTTCTTAATTAAAAAGAAATAAGATAAAAGATGTTGGCTTAATTTAAAGGCAATAAAGATTATAAAAAAAACTATTCACCTTTATTTAAATCACACGCATATTCCCTATTCGACACTCGCGATGAGACATCAGGCGCAGGACCGACGGCTTTACGTGCCTTCCGTGGCACGGGGGTGATACACCGCCAACTTCGTAACTCCGAACTTTATTGTTATTGAGAATTTCTTAACAGCAAAGCTCAATAAGTAAACTTAGTCTGACCCGGGATTCGAACCCCCGATCTACAGATCTGCCGTACGTGATGACCACTACTAGTAGGTATACATCGAGGCAATTATGAGTTTAATTTCTAATTTATCTATACGATATCCAATTTATTTTTTCAAGATATCTAGACGATTATTCGTACAAGTAAACGATATGACATTATATTTCGACGTAGCTAGGGCCGACCTCGGCACCACACCCAACATCTATATATATAAAAGAAAGTCGTGTTAGTTACTTCGCTTATAACTCAAGAACGGCTGAACCGATTTAGCTGAAAATTGGCAGGGAGGTAGTTTAGAGCCAGGAGAAGGACATAGGATACTTTTTATCCCGTTCGACCGCGTTCCAATTTTTATGATATTTTAATTTTTGGATTTCTCTTAGTCCGGAATAGGTAAGTATTAAAACATATAATTAAAATGTGAGAAAGAAAGATTTTTTCTTTTTATATCTATTTAAAACGTACCTAGCGACGAACCCGAGCGAAGCGAGGGTGAGCCGCTAGTTAATAATAATAATGACATTATATTCGTTCATTTTTAGTCCTCATATTGCCATAAAAACTAATGCTAAAATTTTATGTTTATATTGATAGAAAAACACCCAATTAAATGTTATTTTAATTAAAATGGCCACAAATTAAATTTAATTGTAGAGTTCCCTCATTTCACGTAGTTACTGTATGCGTTAGCAAACAAAATATCCACAGCTATAATTAGGTAATATAGAAAATGATTTAAAACAAAGAGAAAGCTTTTTAAGCTTAAACTTTTTACCATTATGATTATTATAACAACATAATGTTAGATTAACAAAATAATACTGTGATCAGTAGAAATCAAGTTAGTGACCGAAACTTCCGCTAAAAGTTTAATCCATTTAATTGATTTTTTTAAAAGATTAAACAGATACTATTTATCTTAAGATAATACTTGGTTTCGTGGTTTTAATGTGTTGTTAACAATACCATAGTAAGGTACACGCCGTAAAGAGTTTGCAGCATTTTGTACAGTAGCTTGCCAGTTGTACTCGAGTTGGCCGCGCCCTGTACATTTTCGCTTAATGCGCTGTTTTTCTATTTCTTCTAGCATTTTATTTATATCTAACCTGTTGAAAATGTACGGTGAAAATATACAATATACACGTACGCGATCAATGGTCAATCTCCGTATCAGTATCGGCTTAAACACAAAGCGGAGGAGGCACTTGTCTATGGGCCCTACGTTTTACAAGGGCTCAAGGAATAAAAATAAATAAATTAAAAAATTCATAAAATCAAATTCGAAAAGTCAACGTTTAAAATTACGAAATTTGAAATTTCGATTAAAAATTTAAAGGACGGCCTCGAATTGTTGATCGCCTAGGGCCTATGTAGAACTTAATCGAGCACTGCACTGCTCCGTACGTACTTTTTATATGTAGCAATATACTCTATGGTAGATACTTAGCCTAGAGTATATTTTTTTATATTTCATTATAAGTGAAATAGATCTTTTTATATACATATAAAACATTTCATTAAGTGGCTTTGTAATGATTGACCACATGATGACCCAATTTTGCAATCCCACGGTCCACAGTTTCTCCATGCTCAAATCATTGAAATTTTGTTATTATGATAAATATAAAATAAATAATACTAAATTGTATTAATAAATATATGTAGTTACTCAGATATATGCGGAGGTATAACGGGTTGCATGAAAGGTTTAGCCAGAGTTACTTCTACAATAACGAAGGCAGAACCCCCGTCTGCGCCCGTAGGGCTCGCTGTTGGTGCTGTGTCTATTAATAAATTAGCTGATTCTGGCGTTGGTCTAAAATCATAAAAATAAACCTTTATATTTTTTTAAATTAATTTTAGTGTAGTAGTAAAACTTAATTTGTCAAAATTATGTCATTAGTTCCTTCTCTGAATATGTAAAAAAATATATAAATAACATTTAAACGTATTTTTATGCGTTTCTTATCGTGTGGTTATTTCATTAGCCTCCGGCAATACAGCCGGGCGCAAAGCCAAGAAACGCACAGGGAGGTGGCCCACTTCGGTGAGCGGTGTACCATGGGGGTTTTTCTCATTACAATATTAGTACCTATAGATTATTGAAAAATCAGTACAATGCCAATGAAACCTGTGTGCGTGTGTGAGAACTTACTTGCTTGTTTTTTGAATTATAGTAGAAGACACTTTTTCATTGTTAGCGAGAAGAGGTTCACATCCACATTTTCTCATCATACTGTCTCTATCCATCCATTGTAAGGGAATCACCAAATGGACAGTTTTTTCTAAAATATAATAATAAGAAAGATACACGTATAAGATATATGTATATGATGAATTGATGGGTAACATAAATTATATTATAAAAAAAAGTCGCAGCAAGAATGAAAATATAAGTATGATTTATCCTTGTTAGGAGTCTAAAGTCTACTTAACTTATTTGATTTGTTTCCTTCTCCTAATTTAAATTTTTACGCAATTAGATTTTTTTATTTTCATAATTTAATTTTTTATTTACAGATTTATAGTTTGGAGCAGTCATACATTTGGAGTTTTATTCAACAATTTGCTATCTTAAATTATATTATTAAACTAGCCACTCACCCTCCAGCCTATAACACACTTTCAAGACGAATCTAAAAACTTATAAATCATTAAAATCGGTTAATCCGTTTAATAATTATGAAGGAACATAGGATCAGACGTACATACATACACATACATACACACTCTCATACACACACACACTCATACACACACACACACACACACACACATACATAACCCTTCAAGTCAAGTGTAGCCTTTCGCATAGGGAAAATCTCGGATAGTTGCCTCAGTGGGTTACATGCCTCGGTTTTCAATACACCATGTTAGAAGGTATTCCTGGCGTTAGCGGTCTTTTATAGTTATGGAAGTCTAAAAAAGTCTAAAGAACATTTCTGAGGAATATTAATTCTATAAGAATTAATATTTTTAGTATAATGTTATAGTTATTAAATAAAACTATCTTTTCGGATTATTTCGCGGATTTATTTTGATTTTTGGTTCCCGACGTTTCGAATGCTTTACAGCATCCATGGTCACGGGAGAGACTGAGGTGTTACATGTCTTAAAGATATAGTTGTTACAGACAGCCTAGGCTGTCACAGCCTTTTTTTTTTTTTTTTTTTTATCGTCGGGAAATGCATTTACGCATACCACCTGATCCCCCAGGTGGTGATGTGGGGCTCACCGGCTAGAAGAGCCGGTACTACCCACTAAAACCCGACATCCCTTCCCCCCGCCTTAGTGGGACGCCGCAGGATCGCTTGCGCATAACTACTACGGCGCCCCGGCGGCAGGTCTGCCTAAATACTAGGCAGACCACCAAACCAATGGGGCTGCTCCACAGTCAACTCTGCTACGTCAGAGAGGTACCCGGAGCAGCCCCATAAAACCAAAACACCGCCCACCGAAGTGGGCCACCTCCAATCGGCTGCAGAGGACAGGGAGAGCGGCAACGAAACACCGACACTCCTCTTCCCCTGCAGCCCCACCGCGTCCGCCATCAAACGGTGGCGGCCCCGTCTAGGCCGCGGAAGGTAGGGAGAACGGCGCACCGAAATACCGGCACTCCTCTCCCGCCGCGGCCTACCCCTCCGCCGAATGCGGGCCTGCGAACACAGTCCCGCAACCGGCACCCATCATCCGGTTGTGGGACCAAGCGGTCCCACCACCGGTGGCCGCAACGTCTTCGGCTCGAGGCCTAGACGAGCGGCCCCATCCAAGCCATTTGGTCCGCGCCGGATTTGGCTGTCACAGCCTAGGCTGTCTGTAACATCCGAAAAGATCGCGAAATAATTCGAAAAGATAGTTTTATTTAATAATGTCAAACATTCGCGTAAATCTAAGAAAGTACAAACATTCGCGTAAATCTAAGAAAGTATAATGTTATAGTTATTGATTAAATTAATTTAACAAAAGATTAATTAAAAAATAGCCTTCTAGAGCTAAAAAAAATTAAAAATGGATAGCGTGGACGAGTATGACTGATGGACAGACATTACCAAGAGTTATTAATTAGATTTTCATCCCAGGTTTAGATTTCCTTTTAGATTCAGAGCTTTAGATCAAACAGGAATATTTTAGGTTATGGACTGCAAACGTGCTAATACTTATAAATTATAATTATTTTATGGTAAAATAAAAACTTAAAAAAACATCAACAATAGAAATACCTCCTGGATAAAGTAGCTTAAATAGATCAAGAAAACCCATTAAATGGTAGCCATGACTTTCTCCATAGATATTTATTTCCATTGGCCACTGATATCTACGCAGGTGGTTATAGAGCCATTTCTCTGTATCTTTTAAGATTAAAGTTCGATGGAAAGAGCCCCATATAACAGTATCTTAAAAAATAATTAAAATTTATTTACTTTTCTACATTGTTACTGTTACTTTCGATCCAATTATACCTATATACCTACATATAATATATTTAATTAAAAGGGTAAACATTTTAAAGTAAATGAAAATTAGACCGAAACCATAATTAAGTTATCAAATAAAGAAAATCTGTAGTTTTACTGCATAAATAAAGTAAAAACTATGATAAGGTGTAAGATACCTACGTTTCAATTTATTAAAACACAATCTGAAGTCTATATTATTTTCATTTTGCATTTCTGTTGCATTGATTTGCATTTTTTTGTTTCCATTTGAAAACGGGTCATCACTTAGTCGTAAACTCTCCCAGTGGGGGTAAAAGGATAAATGACTAAATCTTTTGGGTAATTTATAACCGCGGCTAAATGTAAAAATTCCAGTGTGCTAAAATCATTACAGAGGCTTGTTTATTCATATATTAAGGGATACTTTTTGTCGTATCCTAAACGTCTAGAATACAATACAAAGTTAAAATACGACCAAAAATAACACATTTGTTTTAACTAGTTTTGAGACAACTCGCACAAATACATTACATACATTATAGGAAATGTTCAAGATTAATTTATTACATAAATATTTCCATCGTTAAATATATGAATGGAAAGAAGATATTGTCAATAAACTCTTTTTGGGTGCCATTTTTCCAATATAGCGGCGTGAGCCGCAAAGATAAATCTATAAAATTACCAGTTTTCAGAACTCTTTTGGAAAAATTTCCAGGTAACTCCTTTTGTACCTAAGCACCAAATGATGGTACTATTAAAATTATAAGATATTGAATGATTCTTGAACTTCTAATTTAGGCGCAAATTTTTATACTTTTAATGTAGGTACCATATTACATTTCCCCTTACACTGATTCTTATTTATAACTAGCAACTTAGCCTCGCTTCGCTCGGGTGCGTCCCTAAGTAGGTACGTTTTAGTTTTTGTGAGCGGAACCCTAATTCTTTTTCTAAAATAAAAGTAACCTAAGTTATTCCTTATAACATCAGCTACCTGACAGTGAAAGTCCCGTCAAAATTGGTCCAGCCGTTTCGGAGATTCGAACAAACAGTCAGACAAACATTTTAAAAGTTGTATTTTTGTTGTAAGTACAATATGATTATTTTTAATTAAACGCTGTTCAAACGCATTTTTTTTAATCACTAAATTATTAATTTAATACAGATACCCTTATTTACTTATCTGCTTAGCTTCTTAAAATTTATAACTAAGTGAAACACAAGAATTTATGAAATAAATTTAAATACCATATCATTCTGCAAAGGCAACTTTGAAGCCGCGGTGTAAACAAATTTATCATCATACGGAACAATCGTATTATAACAACCCACTAAAGTGATTTTCATGAAGTTGGCATCTTCAATTTTGTTTTGATGTTTTAAATTTTCATTATTTTTGATTGATTCTATACATAAATTTATTTCTGGTAGGTTGTCCCAACTCTTAGCAAGTAAAATTGAGGGAGGCACGATGGGTTCCATTCGTTGTTTTAATATCAGTTTCTTTGTACCTAAAAAGATTTAATTGAGCGCGGCAGATTAACATAAAAGAGGTTACCTTGCACTCTATTGAGTAAAAATCGACTATAAAGTTTATGATGATTTTTGCCTCTTAGGCTTGTGCAAATCGGCAGATTATTAAATTGGACACTTTTCAGGATGTGACTAGCCTACCACACCTTAATCTGACGGTTTCAAGTATTTCTACCTTATCAAAACATTTTTTAAATATTTTAATCGGCTTCCTTAGACGCGCCCTTTATATAGAAGACTTATATTATGGTGAAAGTACTCAATAGAGTGCAAGGTAACCTCTTTTATGTTAATCTGCCGCGCTCGAGTAACTACAGAAATCCCCTCTTGGGCTCCCCTACTATTTAATGATATTAATTCCAATAATATACTTTTATCAAAAAGATGAACTATTGGGCAATCTTGAGTCATAACCATTAAAAAAAATCATGAAAATCTGTTCACATTAGTCAAAGATATCGCGTAACACCCAAAATACAAAACCCAAATTGAGTCGATACTTTCTTCTATTTTAAGTTTATCTAAAAGGGATCTTTCAAATTCAATCATCAGGTAAATGTTGCTAACAAATAACAAGATAAAATACAATAAGTGATAAAAATTGCAGTAGGTACCTATGTATAAAATATTTAAATTTGTGCATTTTTATTTATTCTGCATTTTTATTTATTCAATTAGTTCATGTTTTAAGTGATAAATACCTTTTTTTTATTGATTTCTCTTAAATAATAATAATATCTGCCTGCCAGATTTCGACTACTTAATTGGTCAATCATATCGAGTTTAAGTTATGTGCGCGCGAGGAAATAATATTAGAACACAAGTGCACTGTGTTTGATATAATCTGTATCTTTCTCCTTCATCTTAGCGTTATTTTACTCTCAAAGTCTAGTGGGACGATAATTCGACACGACCAGAGATCAAGCCACAGGACGAACTGCATCAAAAGAAAAATCTAAAGAAAAATACCAATAAACAACACTTCGTCCGACCCGGAGCTTAATCTGCTGCCGTACATGTTGTCCACTACACGAACGATTCAGTTCTGTTTCATCTTAGCATCGATCGCTAAAAAGAATATCTTACCGTTATTATATACCGATATAAAGTACTAATTAGATTTTGCATTTTACCCATAAAAATTGGTAAAATATCCATGTTGCAGCAATAGCCATCGGGTCGGATAGGATCGATTTTATTTTGCGTACTTGATTTAGTTGTTTGACTTTGCGCAGTGGAACTCAGAGCACTTGATAAGTTTCCCACGCTTTTAAATGGATGAATTCTAACTATAAGAAGCGAAAATAAAAAATTGTTATAATGCAAACATATATATATATATATATATATATATATATATATATATATATATATATATATATATTAGTATCGTTCTGCGACTATTTTGATTAAAATATCTTTAACTAGATATGTATTTTCCTTATTTTGTCAAAAATCACATAAATCTTTACGTTTTTAGAATATAAATGACAAAACATTTTTCGTAATGAGCCGATTTTCTGAATTGATTTTGTTAATTTTTTATAGTTTACGCTTCCTAAGTTTTTTTGTGGAACAATTATTTATAATAACTCAGGCTCTATTTAGTTAAAGCAATTAATAGATTACAAAGAAAAAACTACAGTTAAAGCGAGTAGAGTCACGGAAAAAAGTTAATTTACAATGATATTCTGACATACATATTATATTATGTAGTTTTAACTTTATTATTTTATAATACATTTATCATACCAATTTCATCTCTATACATTCTACAGTTTTCAGAGATATGAGTAAATTAAAATTTAACCTGTTAGTGGGTTATCGGCAAAAAGGCACATTTTTTCGTAGTCTGATGGATCATAATTCATGAATCCTCTGGCGATGATCCTTTCTTCGTTACTTTCTTTATAACCAGATGAACTTACCACATTCGATACCAGCAATTGATCAAAAAAAGAAATCTTTAAGAAGTAAGGCTTGGAATACTCGTCGGGTACTCGCACACCTAACACTTTAATACTAAGAACATCTAATGGTGGGACATAAATCTCTTCTTTACATTGTGTTTCTGATTTTATTGTAGATAGAGAAACTTCAGATCGATTCTGAAATTGACAAGAGTATGTTATCATAATTGTATACTTTTTTTGCAAAAATAATACACTTTTTGTTTGTATAATTTACGTTAGGTAGGTACTATATTTTATACCCGGCGTTGCTCGAGTAAAGATGTAAGTAGCTAAATTGTTACAAGTTTTATTACTTTTTATCTACACGAGAGTCACTTAAAAAAGGTCATGCATATAATCACAATACGGTGCATACTGCATTGTTACTCATTTGGTTTGCTTGACAAATACGGTGAGTATTCGTTTAAACCTATTTAGCGGTATACTTTTTGTATACAGTGAACTTAGCATCATTGCATTTCTTTAAATTTACATATTTTTTGAGCTTGTTTGTATCCTTTCTCATATTTAACGATTTTTCCAAAGAATATCTAATTGTGATAGTCTCACAATAAAAATCGGTTCACAATTCTCGCGTTACGTAACATTTTTGTTACATAGCACAAGAAAAAGAGGCACTCAAATTAAGTATCTATTGAAATGGGTCAAAATGTTATAGAAAGTGGCGTAACTTGAGAAAACGTTACGACATTATGACAAAAAAATTCAGAAATAATTAAGTTTCCTTTGAGTTTTCCAATGTGTATTTCTAGAATATTCTGATATGGTACAACATTTTTATTTTGGGAGTATGTTTTTTGAACGATAAAGTGGTCAAGTGTAAGCCGATGTTCATGACTGTTTTTAAATGCATGGGTAAGTATTAAGTAAAGGTCCTCCTAAGTAAAAGACAAGGTGATCTAAGATCTTAAATGATTAGACAGCATATTTTCAGCATACTAAAACATTTTCTTGTTCTTTTTTACCCACGAAGATACATATTATATACATATACTTTTCTCATTCTTAATAAGAACCAGAAAATATTTACCCTACCCTATACTGGACTAACGCATAGGTATTTAACACGTTCACCTATGCAAATGGTTCTATTCGCACTGTACTAACAGTAAAAACCCAATTTGTTCATTCGGAAAAACATAAAAACTTATTCGGTAAACCGCATCATGTCATCATATCACAAGACGTACCTACGTACCTATATATATCTATTCTTTTTTGCATATTAAACAAATAAACAATGTAACATAGATAGCTAATACAGAATAAATATACCAATGTGGACCTATATGGTTTATAATCGGTAATCCGATTCAAAATGTGAATTCAAGTGTTTTTTCTTGATATGGCAAACCGTTCCAACTTTGGTCAATCTATACTTATTATAAAAATAAGTCCCCCGGCCGCGTCTTTCTGTCCTCCTGTCTGTCCTCCTGTCTGTCCTCCTGTCTGTCCTCCTGTCTGTCTGAACGCGATAAACTCGAAAACTACTGAACGGATTTTTATACGGTTTTCAACAATAGAAAGAGTAATTCTTGAGGAAGGTTTAGGTATATAATTTATTATGCTTTTATGTAAATTAGCTGAAATACGGCGACAAATGTTGAAGAGGTCGCAAAAAATCTCGCCAAATGGGAACTTTCCACGCGAACGCCGCGTAAACTAGCAAAGATACAGTTAAGTAATGTACTAGAGAATTCAAAATCTATAAAAATGCTACAAAAAAGTCCGCGATAGCATATCTCTATCTCTTACGGTTGACTTACAATAACCACTTTTATGTTAACATTTTTAATTAAAAACATTACGTTATTTTCAAAGTTATTTTCTTTAGTTCGGTATTAATCCTTATCCAAATGAATATTTTAGTTAGCTTAGTCATTTAATGCAGATTAAAATTGCTCTTTACACTAAATCAATCAGATGAATAGTTTTTGAGATATCGTTGTTAGAAGTAATTAGTAGCGAAACATTTTTAATGCTTGGCGAGCATTGAGATGCCTACGGCGAGTCCATCCCCTCTGCCCCGCATCGCTCGACCGCCTGCTCAAGCTATATAAACCGGGCGATGTAGCGCGCGATCCTAGGATACTTTTTACCGCGGGAAAATATCTTATTTCTGAGGAAAAATACAAAAACTGCAATGTAAGAGTATACTAATATGTAACACCTAAGAATTTAGTTTTTGGTCATCTGAACGCGGGCGGAGCCGCGGGCAATGCTAGTTTATTATAAAGAAACTCAATGTAGGTAGGTACATATGAATACCAAAGTCAGTTTCTGTACATACAAACACTTAGAGCTCTAAGAGAGGTATTAGATGAAACAATAGAAAGCATTGAATACATAGAATAACTAATAAATATCTTTAAAAATGGCTTTTACCTTTGTTTTTTTCATATTACAGGATCACTTGAGAACACTGTAAATAAAGTTTGACAGATATTTATTAAATATTTTGTTGACATCAATGTTATTTTTCATGTAAGTTAATATCAGACCATAAAGTTCTCACTTAAATTTAAAATTTATCATTTTTATTTTAATTGTATGTACATTAGAGAATGGAAAAGATTTCTTGAAAGGAGGGCACTGCACTTATGATCTATTTACATTCAATCTGAGGTTAAGCAATTTATTATGATATCCCTTTTGTATCTGGTTATTGCTTCTACGAGTATTGTGTTCGCGTCTTACCTGTGAAATGTAAATGTATTGTATCTGGAAATTAGACCAGCTGAAGGAAGAATTAAGAAGGAGAGGTGCATCCTGTGATGGTCCTGACTGAATCAACACACAGCAAAACCGCTGGTTGTAGAAACGTGAAATTTGGAGGACGTATTCCGTACGTACGGACGTATATTGAAATGATTGTCAAATGAAAATATTTATAAATTGCAATTGCGAATTAGATACGCGCATCGAAAGTTCCGTACCGTCGAATATTGTGTTGTTTTTACTAAGATATTTACACAAAAAAATAAAATATTTACGTTTTATAAAAATTTATAAAATATTTACGTTTTAATATATAGTTAATTGATTGCAAAATTAACTTCTTAAAAAACGTAACTACTACCTATGTATATTTTGTGAAGTACTTAATTTTTCATATTACTATCAAAATACCTGAAAACAATACAATATTTGACTCACAAATATTTTCATTTCATTTTTGTTTTTTGTTGCTATGAAAATACGTGACAGCAGAACTGTCAAAGTGAACGTCACATTCTAATGGTTTCATTTGTTACATTCTATCTTTTTGGTAAATACGAAACACGTAAATATGTTTTGTATGGGTACAAAAATCTTTGCGCATTGTTAAAAATACTATTGTCTGTGTAAAAACTCTCTTGGCTGTCCCTTGTGACGGATTTTATATGTAACTAGAATTGCCCGCGGCTCCGCCCGCGTTCAGATAACCAAAAACCTAAATTCTTAGGTTTTACATATTAGTATAGTATAGTTTTTGTACTTTTTCTCAGAAATGAGAAATTTTTCGCGGTAAATAGTATACTATATGTCGATCTGGATAATCAGCTATGACTAAGTATACCAAATTTCATCAAAATTAGTCGTTTTTCTGTGATGTAGTAACAGATAGACAGACAGACAGACAGACAAACATTCTAAAAACAATAGATTCAGCGTTTGTGTCGATATAATGTCTATTTCAAGAAGATTTTCCAAAAAATATTAAATGTACAGATTTGACTCTGAATCTGAATTTTATTACATGTATAGATTACTAATAAAAAAATTTAACATTTTCATATTATAGTACTGGCTTATTCTTTAACCGCTAATAAAAAGGCTATACGAGTATAATTACAAACTGACCGATCCCTGTGAACATAATTTTGCAGTTGTCTTGATGAAAGTATATTTCAAAACAAGTAACTGCGTAGTGACGAAGGTTTGTATTACTGAAATACATAGTTTTTAGAGTTCCTCACTAGAGGATCGAGAGGGCCTTATAGTACAAAGAATATTTGGTGGTGTAAAAAGGTATATTTTGTGAACGGAAGACTTTCATTCGGTTTACAACAGTGTTTTTTCAATATTTCTTAAGACGAGGCCCACATAGTAATAAAAACTATACCTTTCGCTTTAATTATAAATATCGTATCTCATATCTGTTCATCATTTTCACTTATTTTCTCAATTAAGTTTTGATGAACTATCTAATTTAGTAGTATTTTTAACTAGAATGGTATAATAAGCCGATTAAGGAATTTATTTTAAAAATACTTAAAGAGGCTTTGCGACGCCGGGGGCATTGCGACCTACTCGTTGGAAAACGCTACTTTATACATAATAGGAATACATATTTGCTAAATGAAAACACGTAACTGGCATAATTTTCAAATAATTTTTTTTATGAATAAAAATCAAAAGGTCAATAAAAAATGGAACAAATCTGACCCGCACGCCGACATGTTATATTAAAATAAGTTTATAATCGCGAAATAAAATATTTTTTTTGTGACGTAATTGCAAGTTTACGGTTTTCGGGATTTTCCCTTTACTTATGCTATAACATATTGCTTCTTACCAAATTTCATGATTCTAGGTCAACCGGAAGTACCCTATAGGTTTCTATTTCCTAGCGAGTGTCAAAATATGTGGCATAAACGGCCGTACCTTTTGATTGCGTTGACTTAGAAATTTGGTTTTTTCACAGCTCCAAATCATTGCAGACGTTAGTATTTGATATTAATTTCACCTCGATACCTCCACGCGTTCTAAACTTGTGCCAACCTCGGATCTCCGGATTTGCGACCGCACATAATATGGGATTTGATATGGTTTTAACTTATAGATAGAGCGATAAACGATGAAGGGTAGACACATAATTTATAAATATTTAGTACAAAATAGTTGAACTATGACAGTGTTTTGTTAAAAAAAATACTGTTTATGTACGCTTACATAACTAGCGCTGACTAAACCTTAAGAGGAATATAAAAACAGGGCAAAAATTGTAGGTCTTAAAAAGGCCTACAGAAAAATCTGCGAATGTATAGTATGTCTATCTCCTAAGGTACACAATAACTATTTTTATCTATAACTTTTTAATTATCGCGTTCCATAATTAAGTAATAATAATTAATAACACTACGGGACTTAACGCGTGAATTCGTAAGTGGCTATATACATAGTTATCTACCTTGTTCCCGACGTTTCGACTGGGCTGTGGTCACGGGCAGACCGGCGGTGTACGGTTATTATAGGTATAATATTTTTATCTATTTAAAACGTACCTAGGGACGCACCCGAGCAAAGCATGCAAGCGTTTTTTTTTAATACTTTGTATATACTACAAATTATTTTCACAATCTATAAAATGAATGTTACAGACGCGTTTGATTTTACTTTTAACGTTATAAATTATGCATGTTAACACGTTATATTCTAAATTATAAGAAACATACCAACTCGCTGTGCATCCTGCGTAGAGAGTTGGTCTTCGGCCCATTCTTTTATTTTTTACTAAGTTCTACTCCTATATTATTACCTATATATTATTCTTAATTAATTTACTTCCTATTTGTTTTAGGAAACTTATTTATTTAGTTTTTTTTATGGAGATTATCTGTTTACTGCTATTTTGTTATCCAAGCGAGGAAATATAATGTGTATGAATATTGAACACGCGATTGTAAAAATAACTGAGTAATTATGAGTAAATTACTCAGTTATTTTTTGCAAGGTAATATTTGGAATTGAAACACGTTTCTACAGTTTATTGAATTAAAAATTGCACCATAAACATAGCTATTATTTAAATACTTATTTTACCATGTTTTAATAACGTCTAAAATATACGATAGAATATTATTTATAAGTATATCACTAGTGTGGTGGACTGTGCGTTGATTGTAGGGTTTTAATAAAAACACTTCTTGAAATTACTTCTTTTATTTTTTCTTATTAACACTGGATACTGAGCATTTGAACACTGAATGAACACACACACACACAGAATAGATTTATGTTTTACACAGAAAAAAAAACATCCAGGTACTAGAGCTCTACAATATACTGAGGATCGTAGTGATTGCGACATTTGGCGGGAGAAAATGGCAAAATTCTTCCCCATTCTTAATAAAACTTGCCTTTTTATATTTTATATTTATTTATATAGGTACTAGCATTGCCCGCGGCTCCGTCCGCTTTCAAATAACCAAAAACCAAATTCTTAGGTTTTATAGGTTAGTATACCTACTCTTACATAATATACCAATTTCATTGCGCACCGCATCATCGGTAAATAATGGCGATGATTGACAAAGCTACAAAGGTTTCTCCGTTAATCTCATATTTGATTTAATAATATTGCACTTTTTGTTTTAACAATAACATTTATAGTTTGTTTATACTTCTGTTTTGTTTGTTTGTTTAGTTTTGTGCGATAAACTAGTTAAGAGCAACACAGAGGTCCCAAAAGAAATAATATTTAAAAATGACAATAAATAAATGTAGAACTTGAATATCTGTGTGAAAAGACAGCCTACACCTGTGTGAATCATACCTAACAAACTATATTGAAATTAATATTTTGATAAAGTTTTCTTGATAAAATGTTCTTAGTCTTTTCCACATAACTCTAATTTCAATTAAAATAAATAGATGGCTGTGTGACAAAATCTTTGTAATATTAATTGGTTTCTATAAATGAGTAATTTTATGTAAAAAAAGGTTCTATAAAAACTTAAAAAAAAGAAAGAAATAGAAACCGACTTCCAGTCACTTAGAAATAAAAAATAACTGAACGGGGCTCATTCCTAATCAGTGCCAGCCGACAATGCTTTAAGATATGAATATCTAATGGGTAAATATGACAAGTAGTCTAATCGGAATCCGGTTCGGGAACAAAATATTGAAAACCTGAAGTTTTATGACTTTAAAATATTAGCAGGTACCTATGTAAGGAATAAAAGCTCATAAAATGCCCCCGATCCGCAGCTACCCCCGAGAAATGGGGGGAAGCAATTTTTCAATTTGCGGCTTACTGTGACGTTCTATCGAAAAATATTTTCTACAAAAGTTATGGGTATAGGAAAAATCTACAACTTCACACTACAACATAAATAACACTTGTTACAGTAACTTCAAAGTTTTCGAGATATTTTTAGAAAACTCGGTTTGTAACTTTTTCTTGTTTTTTTATTTTTAATTTCTTGAATAATCTTTTGATTTTCATGAAACTAAGGGAATGTAAACTTCGAAAAAAGTATGTTTTATGGTCTCGAGAGGCTGAAAATTACCCCCAACTTCAAGTTGACGTTTACATTTAAAAAAAAATTCAATTTTCAAATAGGGCTCATTTTTTTCGTCTCGAACTCTACCTTTTGAAAATAATAAAAACATTGTGTAATGTATAGTCGTCCTGC